AAGCAATTCATGAACAAGTTCAAACTAAGGATTAAGCTAATTAACAATCTAAGCATGCAAGAATTAAGCAAGTAATCAACAACAAAGTAAAGAGAAGTAGAAAAGATGAGTAAGAAATGGTTACTATGAAGCTTCAAAGTGAGCAACAATGGTGGATTTTGTCTTCTACAATGATTGAATTTGAATGCTTCCAAGCTAAAAATTAAGAACTAACTAATGATTTGAGAATTTAATGTTCTAAGACTACAAACTAAGAGGAAAGCTCTAAAAAAACTCCCCCCCCCCCTTCAAATGAGCTCAAAGGGGGGGTATTTATAAGACCCCCAAATAAAAAGGACGGAGAAAACAAGAATCGGGCTTGACTGCAGGTCTGCACGGACGTGCCAGATTCGGCACGGATGTGCAAGCATAAGCACGGTCGTGCCAGATTCGGCACGGACGTGCAGAGGGGGCAGAATTGAGGCAGAACGTACTGATAAGAATCGAGCAGCTCCGCACGGACGTGCAGATATTGGCACGGACGTGCAGCTACATCTGCACGGACGTGCTTAATTTGGCACGTCCGTGCAGGCCTTGGCAGAATGTTCTAAGTTTCTGGAGCACTCCTGCACGGACGTGCAAGGTCTGGCACGGCCGTGCAGCCTCTTCTGCACGGACATGCCAAATTAAGCACGGCCGTGCAGGCCTTGGCAGCTTGTTGAAACTTTCTGGAACCTCCTGCACGGACGTGCAAGGTCTGGCACAGCCGTGCAGGGTCTTCTAAGCCCTTTTTTCCATCTTTTCTTCTATATTGCTCCTTTCCTTGGCTTCTTTCAACCATCTTCTTGCTTCTAACCTCAGCTTTGTATCCATGGGCTCCATTTGATCGTTCTTTTGAACCTAGAATCTCAACAAAAACACCAACAACCCGTGAAGCATAGGATACACAAAAATTGCATAATAATAGAGTAAAAATGAACCAAAACGCAATTTTTATCAAGTAAACTAGGTTCAAAACACCCTAAAATCATATCAAATAGCAAGTTATCATTCTTTCGTTATGTTTTTTCTAGCCACTTGCTTCCTCTCTCTCGTATAGTGCACATAACTTTACCAACCTATGTGAACTTTGCCACTCAAGCCTTAATAATATTTATTGACGTACAATCATATAAGTAAATCATTAAAAGATCGATCGATAAAGGAAGTGTGTTGTGTAACTGATAAGCTATTCCAATACTACTTTTTAAGTCTAAATAAACACGACCATGTACGTACCTCATATACAATCAAGTTGTAACATTAAATTCATGAAATCGATCGATTGGATCCTTATGATGACATTCATCTAAATTAAAAAAAAAAAAAAAAAATCAACCATTCCTCAATCAAACCCTAGTAGTAGTACTAGATCCAACCTATTAAATTAAATTTAATGCTTTGGGTCAAAGCCCCTTTTGGCCATACCATGTTGATCTTCTCTTATACAATTGATCTATTTCGGCATATACAAAAATTAGCTGGCTTTCCATGCTTTAATTTAAGATGGTTGGTGAGTTTTTTTTTGTTTTTTTACAATGGTCACAAAAGGGCTAGTCCTTAAATAACATGCAATAACAACAGATAATACAATGGAAATAAGTAAAAAGAGCTCTAATTTTCTTTAAAATATTCCGCTGCCCCACTCTTTTCGCAACTTTTTCGTTGGTGACCTAGCTAGGCCAGCATGAAACTTGGAATTCTAATTTGAACATGAAGAAGTCAAAGCCCCTTTTGGCCATATTATTTATTTTATGGCTAAAAGCCCCTATTAAAAATCTTCATCTTCCCAGCTTTAATTCTAGTCTCTATTATTGTTTACACTCTAAAAAGCATTTTTAATAAGTAGGTATAATAGAGTATATATTTATTTATTTATTTCATAAATATAGAACTCTAAAAACCAATTTGTTAGGAATATAAAAGCATATACATAGCAAGTTTTAAATTGATTATATGTCGTTTAAAAATGTCCTTTTGTTGGTTCCATTCAACCTAGCTGGTCCAGGTATACTTATATACTTCGTATAAATCATCAATACGAATTAAAATAAAACTTTATTACGTCAGTTTCGATATATATTTAAAAATATCATTTTTAGGTGGAAAATGATATTTGAATGTGGCTGTTTAAAATAAAGTTATGAAAAATTAATTTAACTTTAATTAGTAAAATATATTCTATATTCATTTTTTATGATGTGAAAAGAACAATGTCTTAAAAGGGCATGGGAGAGAATTGAAGTTGAAACAAATTGTAAGAATCAGTCTATTTTTTAGGGGGTTTTGCAACTCTATCTACCTAACTATTAAAACTACAAATATGAATTGTCGTACATTATTCAATAAAAAAGGGAAATTATCACTTTTATACTCCAGCTTTTGGCTTTTATCTTTAGTACACCTCATTAAGTTTTCATTATCAGCGGTACACTCATAATTATCACTAATTACTACAGTAAGCAAACCGTTAATCAAACGTTAAGTTAGGGTTAATGACAGGGATTTTGCTTAGACTTGACTTGACTTGACTAAAATGCCCCCTACTCATTAATTCTCCCTCCAAGCCCAACTGTCGACATTTACTCCAAATTTTTTATCGTTTATCTTCTTCACTCTCTCCCCTGTACTTACTCTTCCTCAAACCCTAATTGTCGCGCTTCTGAAGCAGAATTCTTGGAGATTCAGGCCTGCTTTGTGGATTGTAAAAGGTTAGTGGTTATTTCTTGTAATTTCTTAATTATTTGCTTTAAATTGCTAGGTTTTAGATGAAGTTTGCTATTTCTTGTGAGTGGTTGAATTATGTTAACTGGTTGAATTATGCTCTAATGTTGCTTAATTTAGCCTTGATTTATGTTCGATTTGCCTATGAACATGTATGCTTGCTAAATTCTGTACTCTCTGAGTTACTTTATTCAAAATTGATGACTTTGAGTTTGCATGCTATAGTGTTAGTGATTTTATGCTTAATCTAGGTTTAAATATGTGTTCTTGAGTTTGTAATCTACTGTTGTGCTTAAATCGTGGTAGTGTAATTTACTTTGCAGAATGGATGACATGGTTACACTGAGATTTAAGTATAAGCAGCATAATGTTGATATTGATGTGGACGGTGATAAGTGCAACTTGATGGGCTTAATGATAGAATTTGAAGATATTTTACAAAAAAAGGGAGTAGTTATTTTGAACCCTATACTTGCTTATGCATATAGGGGCAAACATTGGCCAATAGATGATGATGGTGGTCTGATTAGCATGTTTAGGACACTTCCTGATGCTAAGATGTATGAGATTTTGGTTAGGACTACTTTAAATTCAACTTTTATGAATGACTTAGTATCTGAGTTTAGGAGGAACAAATTAGCTGCTAAACTAGCTAGCCAGGGTGTACATGAAGAACCAGAATCACCACCTCTAAACCAACCATCCCTACCATTGACTGTGAGTGAGAATTCCCAGCCTCCTGTAGAAAATACCACTCCTTCTGAGATAGGGAATGAGAACACCAAACTAAAGCCTAGAAGGAGATTGAGATTGAAATACTATGAGCATGCTACTGCCCCTACTAGTGTGGTTACTCCTAGTAGTCCTCCATTACATGAGATTTTTGGGACTGAAGTTAATCATGACCCAAACACTACCTTTGCTGATTTACACGATGAGTTTGAAGAGAGTCATGGTCAGCAGTCTAGCAAAGAATACACTAAGGGTAGGAAGGAGTTTGAGAAATACTGTGAAAAGGCTCAGGATAAGGGAAAGGCCAGTTTTGGAGGTGGGAAGGGTAAGGGCAAGGCTGGTTCTGGTGGTGGGAAGGGTAAGGGCAAGTCCAAACAGTTGGAATCAATTGGGTCTGGGAGTGAGAAGTTACCTCCTTTTCCAATTTCACCACACACTGTCTTCAAAACACTTGTTGGGAGAAGAAGTCCTAGGTTTTCACCAGCCCAAGTCACAGCTAATCACACCACTCCCCTTCCCAGATCAAGTCCAAACAACCAACCATCAAATTAAATATTATCACTGACCCTAACCTATTTGCTAGAAAAATTCCTAAGAGTACTCAAATTAGGAAGGGTATATGGAGTGGTCAGAAAGGGAGAGTGCCTAAATAAGGTACATAACTCATAAAGTTAGGGAAAAGTAGTGCACCTAGTGCTAGAAGGAGGGTTACATATGGTTTGGGTGGTGCTGGCAGTGATCCTGATGGTTCTGGTGATGAATTTGGTGGTGATGATTCTTCTGATGGTGATTATGAGGTTGGTGTGCATGACGATGAACCAGTAGACTCAGATGGAGAATTAATTCCTGATGGTGATGTTCCTGAGATGAGTTACATTATTTAAGCACTGTTTCCCACATAAAAGACAACTGGGAACCTACCTTTTGGTCAGCTTTCATTAATTATTCTGATGATGATAATTATATGGATAAGCTTTATAAGCACAGGGAGATGTATGAAGAAGTCAAATTTGGGAAGATAGTGCTTAGAGCATGGATGATATTTATTGACAAGGCCCATGTGAGAGACACCTTGAAAGATTATGCAGTTCAGGAAGGCTTTGCAATTGCTGTGGTGGCTGCAGACAACAAGAGGTACACTATAACCTGCTTGGCACAATGCTGTGAGTGGAGGATGCATGCTAGTAGGCTGCCAGATGGCAAGACTTGAGCTATAAAGAAGATTTGGCCAGATGTGCATAACTGCAGGGGGTTAGAAATGTATAACCCAATTTGTATAGTTTAATGGGATGTTCCAAAGGTAATGGAAGACATAAGGGAAAATCCAGACATTCCAGCAAAGGCCCTTAATGAGCTTTTATTTCAGAGGTTTGGCATTTACTTGAAGCAAGCCCCCTTATATAGGTTGAAGTGATATGTTGTTCATGAGATATTTGGAGGACATGATGATTCATACAACCATTTGCCAAGATATATTGAAGTTATAATGAGCACCAACCCAGGTTCTAAGGCTTTTGTGGCATGGCATGAGAGTGAAAGCATTCCAAGGGTTAACTTGTTATGGTGCTCATTTGAAGGGCAATTATGGTGGAATTTTACTATCTGTTGTTGCCTTGGATGGTAACAATGAGATATACCCAGTTGCATATGCAATTGTCAGCAGTGAAGACAAAGATAGCTGGAGTTATTTTTTCTGGCACATCCACAACATAGTCAAAGATTCAGGAAGACATATTGGACAATCATCTCTGACAGGCAGAAGGTGTGTATATATTTCCTTTTTTTCATTTCTTGATTGCTATATTTAACTGCATCTCCATGGCATACATTGATAAATGTGATTGTTGTAGGGTGTTGATGTTGCATTGAAAACTGTTTGGCTTGAAGCTAAGAGAAGGTACTGTTGCAGATACTTGAGTATAAATTACAAGAAGCTTTCCCAGGTCCACTTATGTACATCCTTTTCTGGAGAGCTTGCAATGCTACAAATAAATTCACATTCAGAAAGGCAATGGAGAGACTTAAAAAGAAAGGTGAGGAGGATGTCATGAAATGGTTTACAGATTTAGGCCATTAATCTAAGTGGAGTAAACACAAATTTGATCCAAATGTGTGCAATGACTCCAACACTTCAAACTTTGTTGAGAGTTTTAAGTCAACACTTGGAGCTGATAGATGCAGGCCAGTTTTGACTTTACTAGAAGGTAATAATCAAGCTAGCTTGCATTTCACACTTTTTTTGAATGATTACATTACTAATTTGATTGTTATGTTATGATAGGTATAAGGAGAGTGTGCATGGTCAGGATAGCTTCAAGGAAAGAGGCTGCAATGGCCTTGAATAATGATGAACTCTGCCCCAAGATAGCAAGATTGGTCAGAGAGATCAGCAAAGCCTCTACAACCTATGGAGCTTTCCAGTTAAGCCCAGAGGAATATGAGATTCATGAGGGTAAATCACAGTTCCCTCTTAGCCTAAACAGTAAGATTTGCTCATGTGGAGCTTGGCAATTGTCTGGCATACCTTGCAGACATGCTATAAGGGCAATGACTCATGCAAAAGTTGACCTTCACAATTATGTTAGTTCTTGGTATTCTGCACAGACCTACAAGAAGGTGTACAGTCATTGCATAACTCCTATCCCAGATCTTAGTTAGTGGCCTGAATCTGCTGCTGAGAACCCTCATCATATTCACCCACCAAAGATGAAAAAAGGGGTTGGTAGACCTAGCAGAAACAAGCAAAGGGAAGAAGGAGGGGACCAGCCAGGCAAAAGGTCAAGAACTGTGAGATGCTCAAGGTGTGGTTGTTTTGGACATAAAAAAAAAAAACTGGCAAAGGAGGGCTAACTAGAAAAAAGCTAAGGGCTTGAGAAGCACTTGTGATACGAAACCCAAGAGTGAGAGATCAGATAAATGCTACAAAAGAAGCAAGAGCAAAATCAAAGGGTGAAGGGTCTGGTGCAACTGAGCTCACAAGCTCACAACTGTCAAGTCAACCACAAGACTTGTCACAGTCCCAGAGCTGAGATGGGGATGTAATTCTGAGATATGCAGATGCTTTTTAGTCTATTTTGATGTATATATAAACCAAAGTTTGGTGTTGTTTGATCAGACAATTGGTTAAGTTTTTTTTGTGAAACAAGTGTACTTGTTGGGAACTTGGTACAAGTTTTTCATTATGTTTGTCTTACTTTTGATGTAACCTTCTGAAACAATATATTTGGGTTGTAGTGCTTTTGCTATAACAGTTAATATATGCCTTTTCTCTATGTCACTTCATTTTCCCTAATTTTACTACTTTATTCTTGTTAGTGCACCATTAAGTGTTAATAATTAAAGAAACAGGGGAGTATAACATAAAACAAACACTTTTATTAATATCAATTCAAATTACATCTCACAACTAAGTTCTCATTGCAGCTCACACACCCACTCTTGAACTGCATCTATTTCAAAACAACAACCAATAAGACCAAATACATAACAACAACAATCTTAACAACATATGAACAAAATCAACAAAGTCATTTGTCTTCTTCATGAACTCAGTGAATTCTGCCCTTAATAGTTGAACATATGCTGCTTCTGACATGTCACCAGGTCTGCCACCAACATTCCTTACAATATATGTTCATCAGTAGGGCTGGCAAACAGGTCGGGTCGGGTCGGGTTCAGGTCGACCTGTTTACATAAACGGGTCAGGACCCCCCAACCTGAACCCGACCTGTTTACTTAAACAGGTCAAAAAAACCAACCTGAACCCGACCTGATTATAAACGGGTCGACCTGAACCCGACCCGCCTAAACCTGATTTTTTTTTAATTAAAAAAAAATAAAATAAAAACCTGTAATTTACTAATTTCTTTATACTGTAATTTTTTTAACCTGTAATTTGACTAATTTCTTTAACCTGTAAGATTCAAGTATTCAAGACTTCAAATTCAACACATAATTCAAGCAAACATAACTTAACAACATAATTCAAGAGTTACATGTCCAAAATACTTCCAAGTAGGCAAATAAAAGTTCAACTAGAAAACCAAATACATGTCCAAAATAACAGTAACAGTTTCATCAACTAATTTTAGAAGAAATTAACAACATAATCAGGTTTGACTCTCCATGACAGCAGGACTTTCTGGTGCACTTTGTGGAGGGCTGGGGCTGGGAGTATCCCCCACATCATCGTTGACTTTCATGGCCATGATTTTTCCACATAAATCTTGCAATTGCGGATCCATATTAGCTACAACCAAAAGAATACATACAAAAGTTAATTTCAGCCTTAAGCATAAATAAAATAGTACAAAAAAGAAACAAAAAAAATTGTAATTTTAAATACATAAACTATTTTCATACCTTCACCAAAAGTCCAATCTTTGAGGCAAATGATAGCTTCTGCTGTGTTTGGTTTCAAAGAGCTTCTATAGCAGTCCAAAACTCGACCACCAGTACTGAAGGCAGATTCTGAAGCTACTGTTGAAATAGGGATTGCAAGGATGTCCCTTGCCATCTTTGAAAGAATTGGATACCTCACAACATTTGTTTTCCAATGATATAGAATATTAATGTTGGTTGCACGAGGAATCAATGGCTCTTCCAAGTAGATTTGCAAGTCAGATTTAGCAGCAACATATGATTTGCTAGAAGAGAAGTTATCAAAGTCCTAAAAGATGTTTAAACAAAAATTACAATAAAGCATACAAAAAACAGAATTTAAAGCTGATTATCAAACAAAAAGCAAGTGTTCACAGTTACCATCATAAAAGAATCAGAAGCAACATCAACTTGCTCTTCATTAGGCTGTCTAGAAGAACGACGCCTTGTTCGTGGTGTTGTTGTGGAAGCCTCAGTCACATAAACACCATATAAATAATCCAACCTTTCCTTGAACTTCACCAACTCATTAGTACCCTCTATTTCCCCATACACCTTCTTAAAAGCCCACTCCACAAACTCATACTTAAATCGAGGGTCTAAAACAACAGCCACAGCCATGATTATGCTAAAGTTGGTCCAATATTTAGCAAATTTCTCATTCATTCTTGCTGCCATCTTATGCATGAAGTTATCAGAATTTTCAAGCTCCTCTTTCAAGAGTAAACGGATTTTCAACACATTTGGGAAGTATACATTAGCGGTAGGATAATTAGTACCCGAAAAAACATTTGTCACATCAAAAAAGACCTTCAAAAATCTAAATAACTTCTCTATTCTCCCCCACTCCTCATTTGTTGGACAATGAATGTAATTGGCATCAACCTTTTGAAAATGAAGAAAAGCTTTTTTGTAGTACAAAACATTCTCTAACATCAAATAAGTTGAATTCCATCTAGTAGGGACATCTTGTCTCAATCCTCTACTTGAGTCTAGTTCAACATGTGCCACACAAGTCAAAAAACGTTGCTTTCTAGCCTGAGACCCTTTACAATACTTCACAGTTTCTCTCACCTTAACAACAGCCTCATTAATTTCTTTTAACCCATCTTGCACAATTAAATTTAGGATATGTGCACAACACCTCACATGGAAATAATCCCCCCACAAACCAAATCAAGTTCATTTTTAATTACATCAGCAAACACATCATTAGAGGAAGCATTATCAAGAGTAATACACATGATTTTCTTTTGGATACCCCACTCTTTAAGAAAATCATAGACATGGTCAGACATATGGACACCGGTATGAGGTGGAGGCAAAAAACGAAAGTTCAGAATTTTTTTTTGCAAATTCCATTGATTATCAACAAAATGGGCAGTCAAAGACATGTAACCATCAGTAGTAATTGAAGTCCAACAATCAGATGTAAGAGAAATCCTACCCTTAACTACACTCAACTCCTCCTTAAGTTTATCTTTTTCCCTCTTAAACATTTTCAGAACATCAGCCTTCAAAGTATTTCGAGACACAAGTTTAACATCAGGATTTATGTAATTAATCAACTTCCTAACAGCACTATATTCAGCAAACTGAAAAGGCAAATCATGTTTCACCACAGCAATAGACAACATCTCACGAACAATATCATAATCAATTGTAGGAACCCTATTCATCATAGAACCAGAACTGCTTGAATCAATAATCATCTGACCCACATCTTTAAAGGTCCTTTTTTTACATTTCTTAATGTGGCGTTTTAAATTACCAGTTCCTTGCCTACTTTCAGCATTATATTTCTGCCCACATTTTTTACACATGCAAATGATGTTACCTTGTTCGTCAGGTTTATCAAGGAATTCAAAATTTGCCCACACATCTGAAGTGAGCTTTCGTTGGCGCTTGAAATGAATTCCAGGCTTATTCAGCGAGGTGACATTAGAGGTTTTCTTCTTTGATTCCGTTTGATGAGAATCAGAAACTTCATCATCTGAATCAGAATCCGGAAGATCAATGGGTTCATCAGGATTAGGGCTATTAGCCATCTGTGAATAAATTAAAGAAAGAATTACACTCATATCCGAAGTATAAACATGAAAAACAGAAGTATAAACTCATGAGTCATGACATAAAGAATCAAACTCATGAAATTGCAGAGTAAGAAAATCAAATCAGGGCAAAAAATCGCATAAACAAATCGCAAATAATCGCAAAATAAGTAAATAACAAATCAAATCTTCGAAAGAAATTGCAGAGTAAGAAAATAACAAACGAACAACATTAAATGATTAAATCACATAAACAAAGCATACATAAACCATAATAGCAAAAAATCGCTTAAAAAATCAAAGAAATCTGAAAATTGCATAACCAAATCAAGGAAATTGCATAAACAAATGACTCATGAGCAAACAAACTCATAAAAAATCGAATAATAGGATTATTACCTTCAGAATGTTTGAGATGAAGCTTCAATCTTCAAGGTTCAAGAATTTTTATTTCAATCTTCAAGAGTTAGAGAGAGAAAAGAGAGGAGAGAAGAGAGAGAAACTGAGAAGAAAGAGAGTTTGAGTGAAAGTCTGAAAGAAAGCGGCGAGTGAAAGAGGAAAAGCTTAGGGTTAGATAATTTGGGCTTGGCCCATATTTTTAAATTAGTGTTTTAAGTTAAGCGGGTTGGGTTCGGGTTGACCCGACCTGAAACCGACCCAATTAAATAAACGGGTTTATGCGGGTTGGTTTCGGGTTGGGATTTTCAACCTGAACCCGACCCGTTTAACTTCAGGTCGGGTTCGGGTTGACCCAATTACATAAACGGGTTGAAAATCTCTATCAAAACCCATTTATTTCGGGTTGGGTTCGGGTCGGGTTGTCGGGTCGGGTCAGCTTTTGCCAGCCCTATTCATCAGTCAGCCACAAGAACAAATCACAGAGCCTGCACTTGTAATAGGGCCTTCCAGGGTTAGCTGCTGAGTTTGAGAACCTAATGTTTGCAAATCTTGGAGGATTACAATTGCAGGTAATGGTTTTAACCCACACCCCTTATATATCTGTTGCTTAAAATAGATCTTGTGCCAGAAGAGGAAGACATTGCAGATTTGAACTTAAAAGTGAGAAAGCAAAAAAAACGAAAGAGAAAAAGATTGTAAAAGAAAGTATGGAGAAGAGCATGTATTTATAAGGTCTAATGTGGTGGGAATTGATTTTTTTTTTTTCAAAAATAAGGAGGGAAATGTTGGAGGGAGATTAAATGAGAGGGCATTGAGGTCTTTTCCTCTTTTTTTCAACTAAAACGTTTTAGATTAACTACCTAAACGTTTGATTAACGGTTTGCTTACTGTAGTAATTTAGTGATAATTATGAGTGTACCGCTGATAAGGAAAATTTAATGAGGTGTACCAAAGATAAAAGCTGGAAGTTGGAGTGTACCAGGGATATAATTACCCATAAAAAATATCTTGTTATTTATTTTTAGGAAATTTTGACTTTTGGTACCACAAAAAGACCTGTTATTCAATTTTGCTACCTCTAACAATTTTTATTTTATTTTACTACCACTAAAAATCACATAATTTAAATTTCACCACCACTTAACGGAATCCTAACTTATTCAAAAATATAAAAAAAATTAAAAATTAAAATGTTTATAAAAAAAGAACAACCCCAGCCACCCTCAACTGCCCCCCTCCCGTCAGCCACCCTCCCCCCTCCCCCCTGCCGGCGGCCAGCGCTTGGGCGAATGCCGGAAACCCCACCCCAAACCCTTTCCCCCACCAACGGACGACGATGATGATGATTGTATGATTGTAGGGGGGGTCGATTCGAACAAGGGGAAAATCGAAAATTTTTGACCTCTAATTCGACAAGTTGTGTCGAAATTGATTGAGGGCTTTGTTTTCTTTAGATTTCAATTGCAAAATCATGTAAATAATTGTTGTTTTCGTTTTGAAATCAAAGAGTTTGATTCAAAAGTTCTTATAAACCCTAACTTTTTCCCCAAATTGATTTTGAATGAAAATCATCAAATTAATTCAATAAGATTGAAAATTGATATCAAAATCTTGTTTTGGGATTGAATTCGAACATCAAACGCTAGAAACTCCTGATTTTAATTCGAAATTGTTCGAATTTTGGGATGTTTTTGTTCTCATGTTCGTCGAGGCACCGTAGGAGGCTGCGTGCAAGGGTTGCGCGCCATTCAAAGGCCGTCGGTGGTTGCGCTGGCTCGCGTTTTTCCGGCGATCGTTGAGGCCGCGCGTTGGCTGGAATCAGGCTGCAGCGTGGTGGTGGCTGGAAGCTGTTCATGGCTGCTGCCTGCTGCTGTGAACCTGACTGCTGCACTTGACTGGGGAAGGAGGAGAGAGAGAGGCAGGGTTGAAGTGGGCCCCACAAACGGCTAATCTAACAGTTTCCGTCAACTGGTATCAGTTTTAAAAACCTGATTTGTAGTGGTAGTAAAATAAAATAAAAATTGTTAGAGGTAGCAAAATTGAATAACATGTCTTTTTGTGGTACCAAAAGTCAAAATACCCTTATTTTTAAGATTGGTGTAGATTTTAATGGTCGAAAATGGTATAAAAAATTGTTACCGAAAAAATTGAAATCACATGGGAATAAGCTCATCTTATCTCTAAAGCCAAAGAAGGGCAGCAATCTTAGCAACAATCCCATAAATTAGAATGAGAAAAGCGAGACAAATGGTTGGTGAAGACCAAACCACATTAAGATTTATTTCAATTGAACTATTATTTCAACTAAAATGAGTTAACATTAATACACTATAAATAAAGTCGTATATAAATTCAATATCATTATCGTCATTTATTACTGTCTAATAATTACAACGGGGCCATCGATGTTAACCATACACTTGAAGTGCTGTGATCACGGGTGTTCAATTTTTCTTAAAAATTCGTTGTGAAAGTGCCCTGAAACTTCCATGAAAATTTATCATGCATAGCATTAACATTCCATGCTTTTGGTAGAACTCACAAGTCACAACAGAAGGGCTTAGCATCAAAATCCTTTTTGTGCCTGACTTGTTTAATACTTGGGCCAAGTAACAGGGCTGCAACAGCAAGATCCATCTTTGGGCCTTAAACAGTTGACATGGGCCCCTTGTGATCCACAGTAATGTTGATTGGGCCCCTTGTTGTCAGATGTCAGAACATTTAACTGAAACTGACTGCAATGGGCTGGATCAAGATCACTTCATTGATGGCGGTTTACTCTCAATTCTTGGAGGGGCACTGATGCCAGGGTGGTGCCGGTGAAGTGGGATCGACAGAAACAGTTTTTTCGCATCACTGTCAGTTTTCAGTTTTTGGTTATAGATATTTCAAACATAATTTTGCAAGTAGTGCAGCAATTAACTGCGATGCTAGGTTTCGGGTTTTCTTTTAGGCCTTCATAATAAGGTGTGCAAAGTTGCAAACAACCCATTTGTATAGGACCTCGAAATTAAGTGACCTAAAAGGTTTAAAGTAGAAAGAGTTCAATTTAAACAAAGAAATGAATAGCTTTGGCATGTAAATTATAGACCATCAATAGCCTAGCTTAACTAGTAATAGTTTTTGCATTATGCATGAGTTTAGAGTTCAAACTTTGTTACTTTTCCTTGGCTAATTCATTTTTGCCTCTTCAAACTTCTTATTCTTTATTTAAATCCAATAAATTATTATGTTCTAAATTCGCTTATAGTATTCTGAATGGACGACTCTGGTTTGCTATCGTGTGTGGTTTTTTTTCACCAAAATCAAAATTAAGAGATTAATAATCCTTTTATGCCCATCCACCGATCAAATTGAAACATGAAAACATCACACTATTGGAGTACAAGGATCTTCTTTTTTGCTAGGGGTTAAGTTGGTGACAAGTGTATGATTACTATTTTTAAGGTTTTTGAATGAGACATAATTATTCATATACGGAATTAGATTGCTGAAATTGATGGAGAGCATAAGAATACAGAAGATCCAAATTGGTAGGTAAACCTAGAAAGAAAGAAAGCAGCATTCATATGACAAGAACAAAGCAGCATTTTCACTTCTTTCACATAAAATTGACCATTGTGACATTGTCCATACCTATTGAGATGGCAAGAAGCATACAAACAGCAAACTACAAGAGACAACAAGAATATTACGATCATGACCGATTAGTCGCTTACTAAGGAGGTTCGAAGTGATCATGTGTATAAGACAACTTATATTAGAGGACGCAAAAGTGTTCACACCCAAGTATGACTGATCTTTGTATAAACACGATATGAACCTCTAAAAGGAAAATTTTCATAACATTTGATTGCAGAAGGCCCATGGATGCGTGATAAAATGATTTATTGATGAGGACATGCCTCAAGTGTTCATGTGGCCGAAGACCCTGGATAACTTGGATCGTTGCTAAGAAGACACACATACATGCACACAAGAGGAAGGGAAATCGTCTCAACAACTCACCATATACTTTGGAGAACTGACAAAAAAGATTGAGTAACCATTTGATATTCTGATGGCTGTCAAATTGGTGCAGTTCTGAAGTCTGAATCAAATTTTGTTTCGGACAACCATATTTAGTACAAGAAAACTGACAGATTGTTCTCAAGTGAACATGTGAGAGTGTTTGTACTGTAATAGCATAACATTATATTATGGCAAAAATCCAAATTAAATAGGTTTCTATAAAAATACCACTATTGATGATTGATGAATTTCTCTAATAAACGCAACAATGAACAGAAATTATTCCTTGCAATACATTGGTATGATCGTCAGAATTACAGCTTCATGAGAAGCAATCAACCAAACGATGATTACTACTCAGATAATAAGAACATCTACAGTAAAATCCGAAAGCGAAATAACAGAAACCAAGCTCAGCTGATTTGTACTGGTGTACTAACTTATTGTTCAATGCTTATTCTACAAAAGAAACCTACCATAGCACTAACCAAAACCCAAGTTTATTCGCAGCACTAGCAAAAAAAACAACCAAATCCTCAGAGAAAGATAAATTGTCATATGACAAACACATTAGCAATCACTGATTATTATAATCATCTTCCTCAATTCATCCAACTGTAAAAATTCAACTGTTAATACTGCAAAACACTTAACCATTAACAGCATATTATACCATTAACAGCAGATTATACCATTAATAGTCGACTAATTGGCAACCAACTTCTCCTTCTCCTTCTCCTTCTCATCCCCATCATCCAAACCAGAACCCATGGCCGCGGCCGCGGGTGTCACACTCTGCGAGCCAGTCAACCGTGCCAACACAACAAAAGACATCCCACCAAGCACATTATTCAAACACCTCAGAACAACAACAGACGACTTAAAAACAACCGGCGACGTCGCCTTCGCCAACAAAAACTCAACCCCATTCAAAGTCTGATACCTCAAGTTGCTACTCAACCCCATATGAAGCGCCCACGTAACAGCATTCAACAGCGTAGGAGGCGCCTTATTCGGGGTTTCGAAACCAGGGTCCATCTTCTTTTTGATTGCGATCAATCCATTAGACATCGCAGTTCCAACCAATCCAGCAGCAAAACCAACTGCAGCGAAGATTGCACCCTTGTACACGAAGGTGCCGCAACGGGCCATGAGCCCGAATGATCCGGGCTCAAACATGTGACTATTCGGGCAACCCGCGAAAATCGAGGGTAACGAAGATGAAGCAGAAGCAGCAGTAGGAGCTAATAGATACATTAGGGTAAAATTCAAAATCGATCCAACAACCAATGTTGAGAAAACGAAATCGAGTTCGTTGAGACCGAAATTAGGGCGAGATGCCATATCCCCAATTACGCAAGATGTAACACCAACAAGTTCTTCCATTAATACTTTGAATGGAAATTGAGGATCGGCTAAAACCCTAGATTTCCACCCTTTGATGAAAATTCCAATCAACCCTAGATTCTCCCAAAACGACGAGTTTTCATTTCCATCGTTGGACTCAGAGAATGAATCTCCGCCATCGCCGGAGTTCCAATTTCCTCCTTTTCCGCCGCCATTACCGCCGATGAATCCCGCGCCGCCGTCGCCGCCATTGGAGGCGAAGCACAGGTGAGGGAGATTATCAGAGGAGGAAGATAATCGGAGATTGGGGGTTTGATTGAGAGGGTAAGAGAAGGAATTTGGAGAAGAAAGGCGATTGGATGAGAAAGGAGAGAATTGACGAGGGGAAGAAGAAAGTGGGGAATAACGGAGTTGTGATGTTAAGGAAGAAGACGCCATTGATGGAGCTTCGAGATCTATCAATGGCGGAGGCGGCGGTTGTGGTTGTTGAGATATTATTGTTGTTGGTGTGTTTTTTGTGAGTGAGTGAAGAAAATGAAGGTGGAAATTGGCGATTTTTTTTAGGTGGAAAAGTTGGGTGAATGAAGACTTAATTTTTGACAAGAGGGAATAAATTGAAAAGGTAGATGATTTTTTAAAATTAAAGAAAAGTAAATTGAAAAAATATCGAGTATTTTTTTTTATTTATGAGAAAGAGGAGTAATCTTTTTAAGTAACTTTTTATAACTATTGTAAAGTATGGAATTTGCCAATTTGGGTGACTAATGAAGTGTATTAGTGTATAATACTATAATGTGGTAGTTTGTGATGAAAAATCTCACTAGTGACCAAAAAACTTGGAGTTAGGTGAAGAATTGACTAAGTAGTCAAAGTTTAATACGGAGTAGATAGAATATACGTAGTAATTTAAATAGGTGATATACGTGGTATGAAGTAATAAAACTTAATTTTATAATAAGTATTAAATACAAAGTGTATATATTACTCTTGTCAAAAAGAAGTGTATATATTACTAAAATGAAAAAGGTTAACAATTTATGAAACAACCTCTATGATATACTAGGAACATAGTATTCCGTACTCAGTATGAATTAATATAAGTACTACTAAAATGAAATAAATTTATCAATTTATTAAGCAAGCTCAAATGACATTAGCAACTTACGGTTATACATATCAAATTTCTAAATAATAAAGCAAATTTCCAAACAAATTGCACGATTTGTTTGAGGATTATCCGATTATGTACAAACGTTCATTTCCATAAAAATTGTATAAACATGTATCATGTACGAAGTATATAGAAAATGGTACCGCTCCATATTTGTTAAATTGAGATGTCCATCGTCTGAGATAAGCTATTTACTAATCTACTTTGGGAAATAGATTAATGCTAACAAAGATCAAAGAGCTATGTCCCATCGATCTTATTATCTAGTTTAGGTCTAGTAACTTGTAGCCTTGTACTCTTGTAGGTACATTACCATTAATCTTATAGTTTCTTCATACTTGGAAATACAATTTCAACCAATTTATTTTCTAGTAGAATGTCGAAGCAGTAGTTTCCGTTCTGAATATACTCGTAGACTCGTGGTTGAGTATTGGGTGGGGAGCCTATAGACCCAAGCAGCAGATTTGGGGGAGCTGTATTATACATTTATATCGTAACATTCTAATGCTCATGAACAATACTTACAAAAGAGTTTAAAAGTATCACGCCTTAGCCGAGAATATGTTCTATACAGCAATTATATACAGCACCGACTGATAAAGTGATCATTTGTCATGCACTGCTCCAGATTCACTCCCCTAACAACAAAGTAACAGATCATCTCTCAGGAAAAGGAGAGTAAAAGGCAGACGGGGGAGGGGGGGGGGGTCGGGAAAACATCACACACACTATAGATCAACGGGAGAAGGAGACATCTGGTCTGGTGTAGCAGAGACGAGGCCCATAGTTTCATGATCGGTATATGTCAAATGTTGTGCTCCATCAACCACACTAAAATGCTGATTATATACTGATAAAATGTAGATTAGAATATTCAATTACCGCCATTCTCAATTGCAATGGTATCCTTGTTAGTTCTTGCAATAAATCTTCTCTTAGATTGAATCAATTGGACGTACTCATTTATCACAAGATGAAACTTGGTAGCAGCCTTGTTAGACAAGGCAGCAGAAACACCACCTTTTTTCAAAGCCTGGCTGATGTGCCTCTTAGCATCCAGCGCATGTCTCTGGCAGAGAGTCGGAGTGGTAGCGCTTAGTATAGCCTTATTACAAAGAAGGGAACCAATCCGCCCGCCGTCTCTGTTCAGAGCAAAAGTTAACACATTATTGACAAGATCAAAAATTAGGATAAGTACCAATTTTTGCATATAGTAGAACTTTGCACCTGACATATTTACTTGGCCAAAAAAAAAAAGGCAATAAGTTCCATATGAAGCTGTAACAAAACTAAGCAGAAGGCAGCTGACTGTTGCCCACAGAAAAAGAAAACGGCACAGTAGTTAAAACCCCAAACAAATATCAGATAGAACACCTGGTGGCTGACATTGTGCATTTGCAATATACTTCAGATGCAGAAACATGAAGAAACAAGTAAAGAATCCAAAAAAAAAAAAAAAAAAGTAAAGAATGACTCCAAAACCCTACAATATCTAGAATTTCCCATGTTTGGAAAGTGCATCAAGAGGCATTTGGCAAAACGCATTGAAACAAAGTCAAATTAGTCAACTGCACAAGCATATCAACGCCAAAGAACTTTTTTTTATAAAGCATGTCTTCCGTAATACCTAGAAGCATGTCTGGCATAGTTGGTGAAGAGAATTTTATAAATACAAATTCAAATTACAAGTGTGAAGATGTCAAAGTGGACCTTTAAAGCATGTCTTCCATAATACCTAGAAGGCTAGAAGAACTCTTTCTACTACAGACGAAAAAAAAAAACACACATAATTAGAGTTGTGTTTGAATCCTAAACCAGTCAATGGAAATTGACAGCAAACACCATCTAGTTGATGAGTTGAACTGAAAATTTTACTTCTACCTACATAACTGATAGCTAGACACAATTTCCTGGAAAACTTGGCTGCTTTATCAAGGAAGAGGAATGGTAAAAACTAAAAAGGGGTCCTTTAATTTTATACGGGAGTGCATCAAAGGTTTCCACTTCTTTTCTTTGCATAGACAAACTCTCTTGTTTGTTTCTTTAACCAAAAGGCAAGGAAGTTGCTTTAGTACAAATAAACGGCACGAGAAGATTTACTTGTGTACCACAGCTAAAGTGGCTATATGCAAAGATTTGATTGTTTCTATTTAGTAAAACTTTTAAGCTAATGGGGGAGCATAAAGTGATTTGATATTCTCTCAGCTCCTGTCATGAATAGAGGATGGACAATTGATGAACAAGATTGGCAGAGGTTGGTGATGCCCATTAGGATAAACATAGAATAGTGATGCAACTTAGATGTAATAGACATGATTACTAGGTTGGCCAGATACTTGTCAGTCTTGTTCCCAATTTGAACCCGTCTTGGTGATGAATTGCCAATGTCCAGAAGAAGGTGAGATGACAATTTGCTGGCACTGATATATCAATGTTGACACCAGTGTTATGGCCACCAGTTTTGGTGAGAGGTAATAGCTGGGCGAGGCCCGGGAGGGGTAGCAAGCAAAAATCTCTATGCTTTGAGGCATCAATTACAAGAAGCCTAAAGGAGAAAGCAATTTTATTCATCATATGGCAGAATATCACCATTCAATGGTAGGGTCAAAGTGTCAAACACTAAGGGAAATACTTACACCTCTAAGGAAGATTAACCAAAAATCATTTTGTTAAATATTGACAGAAAAATTGTGCAATCACACCAACAGTAGGTGGAATACACTTCCTCTGTTCTTTTTACTTGCAACACGGCGGGGGGTGGGGGAGAATGCACAATTTCAAGGATATGAAAGAGAAGGGAGAGGGGGGAAAATGGACCCATGTCTGCGGAGAGAGATAGAGAGAAACATGGGCCAAAAATAGTAATTTTGCAACTTCCCAAAAGGGAACACATTGCAATGAAAAAAGAAAGGAGGAAGTAATTCCAAGCTGTTTGTCAGCAACAAATGCATCATAGATGCACATTACTCCCACTTTTGAGTAAAAATATCCTTCAAACTTCACTCCAAAACTACCCTCCCAAAATCATCTGATATTGACTTCCAATTCACAGAAGGTGGTAAAATCTGTTTTCTTTAATAAGTGCACAGCTTGATAAATATTCTTCTTTAAGCCCCGTAATTCCTTTCAACTTTGGCTCAAAACTCTAAATGCATTCATTATTAAGCTTTGAACCTCAAAGGATCCCTCACGTTGATCTTAAGATTCTCAGTGCATCACCCACTCCTATCCACATTCAAATGAAGAGCCCCAATACCCTAAACTCGTGGATGACTCTAATTTCCAGAAAATCTAGAAGCCATTGATTAGCATACTTAACTATATGGCCAAGAGACCCATAATTATATCATTTCCCAAAATTTAGTCAAACATGACATATATTTAAGCAGCTTGTGGAATAGAAAGGAACTAGGTGAAAGAGAAAGGGTACGGAATAAAGTAACTTTTCATAATAAGATTTTCTTATAAATTTAAGGGAGCTCATACAGAACAAAAAGGTGTGGTAAGAAAGCCTCCTATACTAAAATGTCACTTTCTTTCCTCCCAAAGTGGCTAAGAATTTGTTAGGATAGAAAGATAGAAGGAAAAGCTGAAAAGGAAAGGGAGGGGAAAGAAAGGAGGGAGGGAAAATAAATCCCATCCTCTACCTCTCTCTCTCTCCCTCTACCTCTCCCTTCACTTCCCTTCCCCAAACATCTTATTTGAACCAAGGAACTTGTTTAGCTCCCTTTCCTTTCCCTCCCTTACTCATCACCTCCTCTTATCCAAGCAAAGCGAAAATGTAAGTATAAGGAAAGCTTATGACAAATATTTCCCTAAATCTTCACTTCTTCCAAAACCTCTATAATTGACGTCCTTTTGGTTTTTTATTCCCTTACATATCACTCATCATTTACCACATAATTGAGTATATTTACTATCTCAACCTCTCCTCGTTTGGTCTTCACATACCTTTACGCACTTGTCAAAAAGTAACTAGCACTATAACGCAACTACATGTGTAATCAACCCAAGAAAAACAAGAACTAAAAACAGCCAGAAAAATGTTCTACCTCCGTTCGTGAAAGTTCGACTCACTTACTATTCATGTGGTCAAAATAAAATAACTTTGACCATATTTTATGATTTATACAATCAAAATAAATTAACAAGTTTGGTCTTATTAGATTTCCCTACTAATAAATTTTTCAAATATCAACTTTTATAAAAATTTACTTATAATAGCTGAAATTATTAATGGTCAAAAATGTTCATTGGAGACCGTGCAAATGCAAAGTGAGTCGAACTTTCAAGAACAGGGGAGTAAAAGTAATTCCTATATTCAATATCTACAATTGTAAGTATGTAAAATGTTGTAGTATTAGTTTCGAGGTATCGTTTCACTATATCAATTTTCTTAATGATTCTTATTAGTGATATTAATTGTTATGTGTAGACAAACTTGAAAGTCAAATGTGTAGAATATCAAAAAACGGAGGTAGTATAAACTAATTAATTCAACAATCAACCAATTATAACCATCAATCAAACCAAAACAAAAAAGAAATTAAAACAAGAAAGAAAGAGGAAGACCTCAATTGTGGATATTTGCATTTTTTGTAGAGCACCTGCTTGCTATCGCTCATTATATGCAAGATACAGAATCGCGTTAACGCCATAGCTTTCCCTCCACACCCACTATAAGAGCACCAACTGAAACTTCTGCCATACTCCACCCCTAATTTATCACCACTACCACCATTTTCACTGTTACCATTACCATTGACGCCATTGCCGTTCATCGCATTACTAGTACCAACGCCATTTTCTCTCTCCTCGGCTTCATCATCTTCTTCCCTGCAAGGGCCTTTCCCATACATCCAGTAGTACTCCCGGTGTTTCCGTCTCACCTCCTCCATTAAAGACCAGTAATGATCCCTGTAACAATCAGCGAGTCGCCTCAATCGACGAACTCGCCGTTTAAGTACTTCCTGCCGAGTTAAGAACCTCGAGTTCGCAAGGAGCGAGTCCTCGTCGGTAGGATCCATTTTCAGAGTTCTGTCCTACAAATAAGGATTATAAACTACAGCCTGCAACACATTTTTAATCAAATTTCACTCAATTGTCAAAATTAAAGTTAAATTCAAAAAATCACATTAAATTCTTCTCGATTAAGAATATCAACATAAATTGCACAAATCAAAGTTCTAGCAACATAATCAACAAAAATAAAATCATAATCTTTTATAACTCCAGAAATTATAACCAATTGTTCAATAATCCACCTTACAAGAACCCTAAATTGACTATACTGACAATTAATTTTTACAATAAACCCTAGAATATGAAATTGATATTCAATGATCTTAAAAAGGAAACATAACAAAAATTAATAGCAAAATCTTACCTCAGAAGGTGCTTCAATGGAAAAAAAGAAAGCTCTGAAGCTGCTTCAATGGAGAAATCAGAGCACGCGCTTCAATGGAGGATAGAGAGAGAGGAAGAGGGTTTAACGGAGTGGTTTTGGAGTGCAAGACAGTAAGATGACAATTTTTTATTTTTGTAAAAAAAAAATTGAGGAATATAAATTGGTAAAGATGACAGTGGTTTTTACTTTTTACATTCGGAGATTGGTTGAGGAAATTTCAATACTCCGTATGAAAAAAATGGAAGTTGTTAGGTCGGTGGACAATTAATTTTACTGCGCAATTCAAGATTTTTAGGTCGGTCGACAATAAATTTTTTGGAAAAAAAAATACGTGTAATTCAAAATATAATTTACACAATTTTTTTTTTCTTCACACTTATGAATTAAAATATAAATAAAAGGGTTAGAATTGAGAAAAAAAAAATCAAGTATGTCAATTATTTTGGGATGGATGAAGTACATTTGTCTATAGTAGTCAACGGTTAAAACTTTGACTATTTGATTTTGAAAATAAAAGTCTTTTCTCAGTATAAAAAATAGACTTTGTCATGTTTTAAGATGTGGTATTTATAAATGAGTTTTGAAGAACTTTCACTAGTAGATTTGGCTAAAGGGCATTCCCACATGCGATATTGCCTATAATATGTCTAACACATCACATGATTCATAGTATTTACAAATAAAAAAATAAAAAATCGGCCCACAATTGACCTTATTAGCTTGTCAAACAAGGCCAATATGTTTCATATTATAGCGCCACGGTTAAGGAACAAGATAATCTAATTAGTATGGGATTAGAGTTAAGCTTGTAAGAGTTATTCATGGTGTTGTTTACAAATTTTATTATGAAGTTGTTGACAAATTTAATTTCCACAACGTCGTTTGACCGCCCAAAACACTATTTGACGACACCTCGGACCCTTGAAACCTTCAACACCACCCTCAAATCCTCAACCCACCACCAAGGCCGCCATGTGATGGTAGGGAAAAGATAGGTAAGGTTTTCAATGGCGGAACATGTGAAGAGATAACCAAGGGTTGAGGATGTGGTCTTAATGGTGTTATAGTGCTATAGGACAAGTGGTTGTGATTTTGGCAACGAGTTAGGGAAGAGAGTGGAAGAGAGAAAATGAGGATAAAGGGGGAGGTGTTGGTTTAATTTCAATCGTATGAGTCACAGGTTGAGGAGGACGAAAGGGATGTGGTCATCGGTTAAAGGGGAGAAGATAGAAGAAGGTACATAGTGAATTAGCGATGTGTGTGGGAGGAAAAGGTGAAGTTTTAATTTGGTGGTGGGGAGGAGATATATAAAGTTTTGGTAGAATAGGAGAAAAAGGCATCATTGTTGAGGGGAAGAAAGTCAGTAGTGGATGAGAGGATTGGAGGATGTCTAAGTGGGTGGTGGAGGGAAAGGTGATTTGGCAATGGTTCAAGGTATATATACATAGTTAACTTGCTACAATATGTTTTCACCAGTTGAGATCATTAAAAGTGAATAGGGGTAAAATCTTAGATTATGTGAACACAATAAAAAAAAAACCATACATTGCGAATGGGTTGGGATCAAACGAGAAGAATCAATGTACATATATAATTTGAACTGGATGTCCATATAGTTTCTACTAAATGTGCAATTTTTTTTGTACATTTAGTTTTAAAAAAATAAAATAGAAAATGAACATTCAGAACAGATATATAATCATTAAATATTCACATCTTTCTAATTATAAGCACCCTTTGATTCCTCTCTTTTGATCCTAAATCATTCACGAGCCGCTTAAAATTCAAATCATCAAATATAAAATCAATTTTTTCTAAATTTAAATCAAATATAATTTACGTCATCAAGGTCAACATAGTTTGACTAAAATCACTAGTGATATGCAATAAATCTAAATGACAAACTGCATAGCGTTCGACTAAAATCACGAGCGATATAGAATGAATCCGAATCCGAATTCCGAACGATGAACTACATGAATTTGGTAGACCCATAGTCATCATTCATCAAAGATAAATCAAACTACAACTATAACCACTCACATAAACCATGTTATCCCCACCACACCCCCGCCTTTTTTTCCAAAAAAACATAACGGCCACAAAATCACTTAAACCAGATCATCCTTCATCACAGTCAAGATGTTGAGTACTTGCAGTACTAGCAGAGCTGCCATTTCCGTCGCTTCTAATTCTCTTTCCAAAACCCTAATTTCTTCCAATTTCATCACCAATCCGAGAAATCTTTCCTCATTTTCTCGTCAATCTCTCCATTTTCTCACTCTCAAATGCTACAGTAGCAAGAATTTTGATAGTAATAGCCGTAAAATGGCGTTGAATTTCTCTCCTCGTGCTTCTGCTCAGCAATTGAAGAATCCTGGTGAACTTATTGACTCCGTTGAAACCTTCATTTTCGATTGCGATGGTTTGATGCTAAACTCAATCTCTCCTTCTTTGCTATTATATTTTTGTTGATTTTGCTGGAAAATTGTTTATAGTGGCGAAAATATGATGCTGATGGATTTTTAGTTTGATTGGTTTGGAGTTAATATTGTAGACTTTACCGACTAAACTAGCTGACATTACGAGAAGAATAAATGAATGATTGATAGCTCTTACGTAGTGGTGAATATAAATGCTTATGGTTTAAAATGTCACCAAAATGTCTCTTAAATTAGAAAATTTGTTCACAATGAGGGTATCAATTTCATTTTTAGTGATCTGATAAAAACATTTGATGGGAAAAAGTTTTATGATAGTTTATGATGTTATTCTTGCTAAAAGCTACTGTTTGATGTGTATATTGGATTGCCAAGAGAACTAGGCATTTACATTGGTTGCATTAATCTTGGTATCGGAACCATTTTGTTCATTCTCTCTCGGTTCTTTATTTTTTGCTGTTGTGATTTTGGTGGTGGTGCGTGGGAGGTTGGGGGAAATGTTGAGACCAACTCATTATGCGTGTGCACGTGTGAGTTGTCCGGGAAGGTTTGGCACCTTAATTTGGGCTGTTCACAATGCGAGGGCACATTGGTGAAGAGGAGATACTAACCATCTTATAGCTTCAGGGTGGTTTTCCTGTTTCCTACCATTGCCAATTGATTCTACGATGGGACTCAATTGGGTGTATGAGTGATCATACTCTTCTTATCCTACCTGCCCATATTACAAATACTGGAAAGTCAACATAAAATGATCTTCTTGTGAAAGATGTCAAAATAAAATGATCTTCTTGTGAAAGATGTTAATACACCTCTATGTTTGTAGGTGTTATATGGAAAGGGGATAAACTAATTGATGGAGTCCCAGAAACACTCGACTTGCTAAGGGAAAAGGTTTGCATATCCTAATTATTAAGCCTGACTACTAAATACTTCTATTTAGGTGCTTTGAAATAGAGAGGTATATTGTGAGTTCAAGTAAGATCAGCTCTTTCTTCATTTTTTTAGCATACTTAATGGCTTCCTCTATCCCACAGGGTAAACGACTGATATTTGTTACCAATAACTCAACCAAGTCTAGGAAGCAATATGGAAAGAAGTTTGAGACACTTGGGCTTAGTGTCACCGAGGTTAGTTCTGGATATGTTGTATACTTGTATTGAACTCTTTGTGAACTTGTTTACTAAACTCATAACACACTTCCCTCAGGAGGAAATTTTCGCGTCATCTTTTGCTGCCGCGGCTTACCTTAAATCAATTGATTTCCCAAAAGATAAAAAGGTATGGCTTTGAGGTGAATTCCTGATTTTTACAAGGAAGACTTTCTGTTTTGAGCATGAATTATCCAAATGATATGACCTGAATGGCTGAATGCATGTGCAATTCCCTTTTGCCGAGGGCTAAAAACTTGAAGTAATGTTAGTTAGATTTCTCTACAATTTTGTAGTAGATAAATTTTTATCTATTTCTAAAGACTATAGAGCAACTTGTATATATTACTATGTAGTATCACAAAGTACAATTTAGCTCTAATTATGTTTGCTGAGATGTTATTTTTAACCATCACTGTCTGTTGTTCCAAATCTGTATGTACCAGGTTCTGGCTCACAACTTTGCATTTCACTAATGACTTCCTTTTTATCATTGATTTCTTGAAGTTAATATCTTGGCCGTTTACTGATGATTATTACATCTCACAGGTCTATGTAATTGGTGAGGAAGGCATCTTGAAGGAGCTTGAGCTTGCCGGATTCCAATACCTTGGTGGTCCGGTATAAATTTCTTCTGTGTAGCATGAACTTTTGGAAATTGCATTGCATTCTCAACAGCCTATTATGTGTTATGTGTAATAGGTTAGATTTTCCCTCTTATCATACTTGGATTTGATCTGCTATGTTTTGGGCATTCATAATTCATTAGACAGAATGGGCTATACATTGAACTAGTGTAGAAGCTCTTGTCAACATACCCATTTTGTTAATTATACTAGTATACCACAAATGCAACAAAGCCACAGAGTTTCATATTTTGGCAATTTAAGGCTTTGAGTAAGATAACCTTTGTAGCTTGTCAAAGTTCAACCTGTACTAGGTCAGCATTAAAGATTGAACTTGCTTCATTATCTAGTATGAGGCAAAGGCAACATAGTCATAGGAGTTGAGGTTTTTTTTATACTGATTTATGCAATATATTCTTTATAACTTGTTATCCTGCACTACATTAGCTTCAAAGACCAAACTTGTCTTTCATCTTACTTGGAGAAAAGGTGACCTAGTTTTGCAAGAAAAAGACAAACTATGTCTGTGTAAACTTAAGGTATCCAGTGGCCTCATAAAAAGCTTATTTAAGCAGAAACCAGTGTTGGGGAATTTTTGTGTTAATCACACTCGCCATGAATGTGAATATGACTGTTGTATCTGTACTTTCTCATGCAGGAAGATGGAACTAAGAAAATAGAGTTGAAGCCTGGTTACTTGATGGAGCATGATGAAAGTGTAATATCTCCTAGACTTTAATAAGAACCATTACACGACTATAATTAGATTCAGAAATGCTGTTCTGATTTGGTTTATATATTAAAGTCTTGCTTATACATGAATACCTTCAATCAATGTAGGTTGGTGCAGTTGTGGTTGGATTTGATCGATTCTTTAATTACTACAAAGTCCAGTAAGTTGCTTTTGTTTAATACTTCTACTTTGTAGAGTTTTCCTTGTATTCAGAGTTGTTTTTGTCAATACTCGTCAATACTCTTCTGGGCCAATCCCCAAATAAAGAAGGTAAAACGTGGTTCTTAGGTAGAAAGTAGAAACATCTGAGAGACTGTCTTTCTTCCTGACTGCTTGAAAATTCTGCTGGGATTTGAACAATGCTTTGTAATTCAGTGATTCACTTAGCATTGAAAATCACAAGAACACAATTCCTCCATCTTGAAAAACTTCACATGAGCATGGTATTATCTGGGAAACTCTTGGTTAGTCTGAGGCTCTGAGCTCTATTACCTGGTGAAATAATGCTCCCAAGTACCAAACTGTTTTTTTAAACTTCAAATTGTAGAACCTTCACCTTGCAGCTTTAGGGAAGCGTTATTCTTTCACCTTTTTTTTTTTTTTTTTTGAACTTTCAATAGCTATGTTTACAGCTTACTTGCTCCCGTAGTTGTCTCTGGCTCCTATAGATGGCTGGTGCAACTTTGCAACTCCACTTGGTTTAGTAATTTAACAATGCTTAATGCTGTTTGCTACCAAGTTCTACAGTTTATTCTTATAATATCTCTTTTATCTTGTCTTCAGATATGGAACACTATGTATCCGTGAAAATCCTGGGTGTCTCTTCATTGCTACAAACCGTGATGCTGTTACTCATCTTACAGATGCGCAGGAATGGGCAGGTTTACTTTTCTCCAATCACTCTACTGGGTTTTTATGAATCTATGCTATAAATTTCACCCCAACACAACTGTGTTTAACATGTCTCCTCAACCCTTCTCAGTTAACTATAGTTACTGATGAAGAGCTTCTTGTTTCTTTTCTTATGTTCAGGCGGTGGTTCAATGGTTGGTGCTCTTTGTGGATCTACTCAGCGAGAGCCCCTTGTTGTAGGGAAGCCCTCTACTTTTATGATGGACTATGTAGCAAAAGAGTATGGCGGCCTGAGTATTCTTTCTTTTTTTTTTTTTTTTTTTTTTTTTTTTTTTTTTTTTTTTTTACCAGGCATTTGTTCATGCAAGTTACATTTTTATCTAAACAACGTACACCCACCCGTTTAAAATTGTTAGGCGGGCACCTGTATTTCTAAATGTTCTAATCCCTTATATCAAGCTTCTGATCCTCTTTTAGAAAAACAAAAAGAAAAAATAGCTTCTGATGTAGGCATATTACAGTCCAGAGTCTTAAATCTCTATTTCTAACTTCTTTGACCATACCAAATGATAGGTTTGGTATTTCCAAGTCCCAAATATGCATGGTTGGGGACAGATTGGACACTGACATACTGTTTGGCCAAAATGGTGGCTGCAAAACACTCCTCGTTTTATCAGGTAATAGCCATGTCTAGTCATGTTTCATGAACTTGTTAATTGTTAGATGCATGACTATGTCTTCCTGATGATTTTGGAAAATAGGCGTGACTAGTTTGGAAACACTTCAAAGCCCCAACAACTCTATTCAGCCAGATTTCTACACTAACAAGATATCAGACTTCCTTTCACTTAAAGCTGCCAGTGTATGAGCATGTAAGCCTCTGAAGCTGTTTTCTTAAATCCCTGTTTTGTGAACTTCTTGTATTTCCTTCTCTCTTCTGCAGCATCATTGTGAAGTTTGCTTTATTACAGTGATGCAGGTTAGGAGCAATAAGTGAACAACAAAACAATCCGATGTGTGGTATACAAGATTTTATTTATTTGAAATATCGAATCATATGGTTTCCGCCTTCCGGCTTCCAGCTGATTTTTCGACCACAAGAGGTTTCCAATTTTCTGGAAAGCTGCTCAAAGTCTAGCAGTGTAGTTTATCAGTCAATCACTCAATTGTCACAGTTTTTTCATTTTCACTTGTATGTTACAACTGTATATGTTGTATAAAACATCTCCATTGTTTACAACTCAATGACATTGGTGGAATTTGATAAGTATGCAGTAAACAACTTCTAAGTCCATGCTGATATATACAAATCTTTTCTGCCAGAGGTTGTTTTTGTTGGACACTCAAAATCAATTGAAGAATAGCTACTGCCTGCTACCGCTAGTCATTCTTTTCATTTGAAGCTCGCTTATTTGATGTGATAGCCCCCTGATAGGCCACATTAGTATCATGGACTCGAACAGTATGCAGCCTATGTTGTGGGATCGATGGTGGGTTTATTGTGTTGAACACTTGAAACTTTTTTTTTTTTTTTTTTGACAAGACAAGACAAGAATTGAACACTTGAACTTGAATAAGGGTAAGTAGTGCCCTGGGAGATTATGTATGGTCCATACCCTAAAAAAAAATAATAATCAATAAAATAAAATAAAAAAAAAAGAAAACAATTGTGTAATGTATGGTTTTTTTGGTGTTTAAAGAGCCAGAAGAGTAGATGATGAGAATCGATTCCAAGATTTCTTGGAACCGGGAGGGGAGCTCTAACCACTTGAGCTATCCCTTACTCTCATTGTGTAACATATGGTGACTCCCTACTCCCTACTCCCTATGTCTTTTGCCAAAAGGTTAATGGGACTCGTATTACGTATTTACATCCATGCCGGTTTGCGTAAGACGGTATTAGTTATAGTTATCTCATTTACTACGTCTATCATACATTAGTTATAATCTATAATAGATCATCACGGGTAAGAGCCGGTGTTGTAAAACAAAAAAAAAAAAAAACCCTTTCAGAGTATTATCAAGGATAAGATATTGCTTAGGGTGGAGGATAAGGGAGGTGGTGGATTCTAGTTGTGTACTTGACTACTGGTACAATTTATTGGATATTTCAAATCAAGAACAATATATTGGATGATTTCAAATCAAGATGGATTCCTTATTTCAAAGATTTTCACATATCATGTATTATAGGTAGGATGAGGATAAATTTATTTCTACGAATATGTAATTTCATATAAAAAAAAACTCGTGTGAGAAAAATTATTTAAACTTTTAAATTTTCAAAATTTGTTATATTATCCACTTATGGTCAGGTTTAAAGATCTCGAGTACTTGACAACTACTTAAGAACAAAATTTTGTCTTTCTCAAACTTTCAAGTGATATTCTTTAGTATGTAATGATTAATAAGCTGTCCATGAAAAATTATTACCTATATCTACTTATTCTTAAAATACTTTATTATATCCAAATTTCTTCAAATCATGATTTCCTATTCCCTCACACTAATATTACATCAACTTTTTACATGTCTGCAATAGCGGCACACTATCACTTCATACTATACACGCTAAAGTATAACGTTTACCACTACACGTGCTCGAGAGATTCTTATCATGTAATTAAAACCAATGCAAATTCTCTTAAGTGTACAATATAATTTTCCTAACTAGTACGAGTAGAAAGGAACAAAAGAACAAGAGAATCAGCAGACAGGATAAACCAAAATCACTGTTAAAAATAAACAAAATCACAACTTATTTCACTTCCATGTTTTTTTTTTGGCCTCCATAAAAGGGCATATCTCTCTTGTTCAGACAAGAGCAAGTAGTTTTTACATTCAATTTCCCGCATATTCATTTTCTTCACCTTTCCTCTTCCCCTCATTTTACACCAAGCAACCATTTTCTCTCTCCTCAATCTCCGAGATCTCAAATTCCCCTAATTTCTTCACAAATCCATCCAATTTCGTACTCTAAATTTCATAATCTCATTCAGAAATTTGATTTTCTCTCCTCTCCTTGCTCGATTCTCTCACCCCTAAATTCTAGGGTTTCATTTTGTTGATTTCATTGTTAAGAACTCGGATTAATTTAGATTATCTTGTATCTATTAATTTAGAGGAAATTTGGTTTAGGAAAATTCGTTATCGTTAATTTGGAGAAATTTTGGTGTTTTCTGGAAAATTGAAAATGGATTCGGAGGATGACATGCATGATGCCAACGATGTTGAATCGCTTGAAGATTTTTACAGTGGCGACACTGCTATCGATTCCGATGATGCTGCTGATGGCGATTATGAATTCATTGATAACGATTCGGAAGACGAGTATGATGATTTCACTTCTCATCGTAATCAGGTTAGCTCCTCTAAATATTGTCTAAATTATTGCATTCTGAATTTTTATTATGGTGTTATTTGATGTACATCGTAATATTTAAGTTTATGTGTGTTTTTGATGATGTTGAGTGTTGTTTCTGAGTGTTTAAATGCTGTTTTTGTTTATGTTCCTTTGTCGTGAAAAGAATTACATTTTTGGATATAAGGTGAAAATAATCAAGGAAATTCTTTGATTGTAGAGAATACTCTCATCTTTGTGGCATTAGAGTGGTATAAAGTTTGAATTTTGGTTTGCTTTGTTGTAGAGTAAAATTAGCTGGTTTGGGCTGGATCACGATCATATGATCATTTTCTTTAAGGTCTTTGATATACAGGATTGATAGCGGCTAGTTGTCATATTTCTTTTTAGGTGTAAGGCTACAATTGAATGAGAGTTGCTGGCAGCACAACCTTCAATTTCAAATAATTTAGTTTCAATTGTTGTTTAGTAGTTGATGCCTACTGTTGGTGGTGGTGATTGATCCGGTGATGCATCCATGTCTGTCTTATCTTTAAGAGTTGATTGGCATTATGGTCCTCGAGTCCTTGGTCTTTGTTATGCACCAATGTTACCTAATTCGCCGTCATGAACCAGAAACCAAAATGTACGGATTGGGACATGCTACATGGTGCAATATACTATATGTTTCTATATTTTTTGGTCATTTGCTTGAAGTTTTTTGTATGACCATTTTGAATTTAGGGCATGAGAGTTGATGTGAGCAGGTAATAAAAACTCAGTATATGAGTGTGTAGCAAAGTCGATCAAGGGCATATTCTCTTTCAATCACCCATAATGTCTGAAGATGAGGCATTGCTAGTATGCTTTTAAATAAATTCTAGGTTGCTTCTTTATGCTAGTGGATATGTATCGCTATTTAAGTTTGTACCTATATTTGGTTTTTTTTTTTCCTTCCAACTCACCATCTCATTTCCAAGTTTATGGCCAAAGTTTATTTCCTCCCAACACAACTCACAGAAAACAAGGTGGAATATCCGACTAAAATGAGCTGTTTAACCTTTTAATTTATGTGATTTATCTTTGGGTCTTGTAGCCCATAGGTATGTGTTGTTTGAGTTTGTAGTTATCACAGAATGGACATCTCAAGTGGCTATTATAATTGCACATGTCCAGTTTTTTTTGTTGTCAGTATGATATCTTACTAGATTACTTGTTACCCTATAGAAGTGAATTTAAAATATATATCCGTATCAAGTAACATAAATCCTCTTTAGATAATATATACCTCATCTGATCCATATATTGCAATGTTTCCCTTTTTTGGAAGTTTCATATACTTTGCAATGTTACCCTATTTTTCTTCCTCTCCATCTCTTCCCTAATCAATGGGTTTTTTTATCCGCACACCTCGTACATGTTGCAATATATATGGAACTGTGGAGGCAATAATTGACTAGTTCATTCTTTTCATCCCTTTTTTTTAAAAAAAAAATAAAATTATACTCTTTCCGTTCTTTAGAGATCTTCCTATTAAATGTTAGTTTGGTCATATTTAGAAATTTGACTGTAATTGGTTACTAATTATTATGAAAAATATCATCATGTAAGTTAAATCTGGTACCATGTGAATGCGTTAATCATCAAATTTTCATAATATTTATTACTCATTAGTAAGTAATTGAAGGATATATATGGTTTAAGGTGTAATTTGGAGATTGTGATAATGTAAATAGGAAGATTTATAAGGAACGGAGAGAGTAGATACGATAGGTTAGTACTATTATTTTTTTTCCCAATTTGCAAGGTTTCATTAGCGATTGTATGAATATGTATTTTTGACACGACATTTTAAAAAGTTTGAGTGAAAGTTTGGACAAGTGTGCATTTCTTGAATTTGTACCTGAGATTTAGAGTAATGTTTTTTTTTTGTTTTTTTTGTTTTTGTTTTTTTTTTTTTTTTGTGTTTGTGTGTGTGAGAGAGAGAGAGAAAGAAGAGTGGTTTTCTTTGCTACATGATGAGTTGATGAGGGATGATTAGCTATAAGGCTGAGACAGTCTAGCAATATTTTTTCTTTTGTGCGTAGTAATATTGAAAGTATGAATCCACACACTAAATATAAAAATAAATGTGGTTGGGGGAGAGCATTGGATGCTAGATTTGGATAGATTATGTGGTTCCATGATTTGGTCTTGGTTAGATGAGTAAAAAGACTGTTGTTTTTGAATTGTACTCAAGGTTGATAAATGAATAGTGCAAAAATACAAAACGTTGCATCTAGGGGTGAGCAAAACCGGGTACCCGGATTAAAACCAAGGACTCGGTACCAAAATCGATCAAACCGGGTCCATGATTTTCGGAACCGGACCCAGAACTGGTGGGGAGTGATTTTTTTATTTTTATTTTTTAGTTTTTCGGATATATTTGGAAAGTATCCCCTTCTAAATTTCCAAAAAAATATAAAAATATTGGAAAATGAGGAGGAGAGAAGTAGAACGTAAGGCGGTGGAAGAAACGACAAATGAAGTGAGCTACAGGGAAGAGGAGAGAGAAAGCGTGGGTGTTGAGAAGAGGTGGGAGGAGATTACACCATGGGTGATTGAGGAAGTAGGTGATGAAAATTAAGGTGTTTTGATGAGTCTGGGAACTGATAAGAGTAGGAAAAAGAAGGCATTTATTGTATAGGTGTTTTAGGGTTTGAGGTGGGTTGGATTTATTTTAACTTTATAAACCCCAAACTCAACTGAGTCTAACAGGGAGTGTACTAGACCTTAAAAATAATTTTTTTAACCAGGTACCCGTTCTTAAAAACTAAGAACTGGAATTGGAACCGGTTCAGACCGGTTTCTAGAAATTGTAACCAGACCCTGTCCCAATGTAACCAGTTCCAAGTCCATACCCATACCCAGCGGGTCCAAACCGGTTCTTGATCTAGAAGCGGGTCCAAATCTTTAGTGAAATAGAAGTGGTATGATTTATAACTGTGACTTGTGTTTGGTTAGATTTGCAATTATATTTCCTGCAGTGAACTCCGACCAATCTGAGCCTTGTTCTTTTTAGCCCCGTGATGTTCTGAATAAAATGCCCATATTTATTACATGCTTGCAACATTTTGTGGTGGTCTACCTGTTTTATGTTTGCAGTTTTGTTGCTGGGTTTCTAATTTTATTACCAATTTTATGTAGCAAAACTATACCATTTTAAGTGAAGCTGATATTCGTCAATGGCAAGAGAATGATATTCTGAAGATATCAACAGTGCTATCAATTTCAAAGGTTGAAGCTGGCATTCTTCTACGCCACTATAATTGGTAATTGTTGCTATGGCTCTTAAGCTATTAAGGAAGCAATGAACTTATGATTCAGTCATTGTGCTGTTTTCTATGTCATTCTTTCATGTGCTCTAGGCTTACAGCACTTGATTCTGTTATTACTAGCAATCTTAGTTATTTACTATTCCTACCTGTTAGCTTGCATATTTGGATTCATCTTGATTTTGGTATTATCATATTAGGCTTGACTGTTTGAGTGGGGACCTGTTGAGTGATGCATGCCTTCATGTCCTGATGATTTTTTATTTTTTTATATGTGACCTTGCAGGAGTGTCAGTAAAGTACATGATGAATGGTTTGCTGATGAAGAGAAAGTCCGCAACACAGTTGGTTTACTGGAAAGGCCTGTTATTGAATTCCCTAATGCAAGAGAAGTATGTAACTTGCAAAAGATCTTAATTTACTGTATTTAAATGTTTGAGATACTGTCTACTTATGTAGAACATGAAATGTTGTTAATGTGTGGATTATGGGATTGAAGAAATGTCTGTTTAAAGTAAGTTTCTCATATTTATGTGCTTAATGAACAGATGACTTGCGGGATATGTTTTGAGGACTTTCCAAGTGCTATGATGAGTGCAGTTGCGTGTGGCCATCCATTTTGTAACTCATGTTGGGCTGGTTTGTTCTAAAATTTTATTCTGATGATTGCATATTGCATTCTTTGTTCCAAAGCAATATTTTTATTGTCCATCTCTCCAGAATTTCAAGATCCCCCCTCCCTCCTGATAAATGGAAATAAAAAGTGATAATATGATTGGAACTTAGAAAGTGAGTTATTAGCGATGTAATTTTTATTGGTTGCGTGTAGTATTTTGTCTATGTTGATGTTTTATTGTTTTTGGGAATATATTGCCAATAAGGTAGTAGTTTTTGGATATGAACACAAAGTTTTGTTTTGAAAAGATTAGCTATACTATATTTCTGATCTTTGTTAGCTAAGTTGCTTATATGACCTGGGTTAGTTGATTAGACAGTTCCATTGCTTCTTCTAGCATCCAAGCAATCACACTAATTCCATCCTTTTATTACATTGTCTGTAGTAGTGTTAAAAAAACAAGACATCTCTATCTCTCCTAATTTTTCTGTGTTTTGGGTCAGGTTACTTGGGTACTTCCATTAATGACGGCCCTGGATGCCTTACTTTGCGATGCCCTGATCCATCATGTGCTGCTGCTGTCGGTCAAGACATGATAAATACACTGGCTCGTGAAGAGGACAGGGAGAAGTATGCACGTTACTTTCTTCGATCTTACATTGAAGACAATAGGAAGGTATATATGGATGAATTTTGTTCAGTTAAATGGTGAAAACAAGTGACACTTTCTAGCTTTGGTTGTTCTTGTTTCAATGAATTTGGCTGAGAAGCCTTATAAATGTTAGCTTGTAGCTGACATAGTGTTTCATACTTACATTTGATATTGCCTTCTTCTATTATATGGCAAAGGCTAAATTTTTTTATGAGATTGATTTTTCTTTTCCGGGTAGCTATCACATCTGTTTTGATTCTTCAAACGAATTTTAATTGAAATCAAGTCTTCCATTTAGTTGGAGAGGCTGTTGTATCTATGTTAAACCTTGCTATTTGAGGTTTGAAAACTGTCTTACAGTTCTAATTTCATTACTGGTGCACTTGACGTTTTATTGTTCTGTTCTTTTTTAATGGTTTTCAGCTCACATGATGCCTCCTTGGTGCTCTAGTTTTCATTTACCACTTTTGTGAAGTATTTTGTTTATGGGATATTGGTTTAATGATTATTTTGGAATTCTGTAGGCCAAATGGTGCCCTGCTCCTGGCTGTGACTATGCAGTTGATTTCGTTGTTGGCAGTGGGAACTATGATGTGACTTGTCGTTGCTCACATGGATTTTGTTGGAGTGTAAGCTATCCTTTGCCTTTTCTTATCTGTTGTTACTTTGTCTCGGTATTATCGGTTATTATGTGGATAAATCTTGTTTTGGAAGATTACTTTGCAAACTTGTTTCTTTCATCATTTTGAAGTTAGAACACCTATATCTGACATCGCTCCAATTTGCTATTGGGGTTGGGGGAAAGTGTTTGAAATATGAGTAATGTATTTCTGATGTGCAGTGTACCGAAGAAGCTCATCGACCTGTCGATTGTGGCACAGTGTGCAAGTGGATCATGAAAAATAGTGCAGAGTCTGAAAATATGAATTGGTATGGCACCACAAGATTTCTACTTAATTAGCTGCCTTATTGGGGATTGTCTATTATAGGGTGAAAGACAGTAATATACAGTTTCATTTTGTTTTTTTTTTTTTTTTTTGGTTTCTATCATCCTGTCAATCTACAGCATAGAGCCATTGCTGAACAGTAATTGATGATGTTGATTTGAACTAGAATTTTGTCGGCTTGTTACATTGCCCAAGAACAAATGCCGTGACTTTTATTTTCTGTTGTGATTTAACGATTAAATGTTAATTGTATTTCTATAAATTGTTTAATGATGGATGCATGGAATCTCTGGACACTTGCTGTCATCAGTAGTGGTGTTAATGCTTTTTTTAAATTTACGTTCATTGAGATTGAATCTCGTAAAGGTGTATTATCTATGGGTCATGTTTTGAGAAGTTTTGAGGTTAATGTATGCTGCCACCTTGAGTCACAAGTCAACCTGCATCTCAAGTTTTTAATTATTATTGAGTAGATTTTCAGTTATGATAAAGTGGTAAGCCTCAACAATGGTGTAAATGTTGGAGTTGTTGGTGACCTGCTGAGTATGTACACCTATTTGGCTAATCCTCCCTGAATTCTGATTTAGAGTAACAGGAAATTACAATATTGGATTGGGATATCTGTTTTTGGTGAGTTAATTATTGATTTCGGTGATACCCATAATCATATTTGTGTTTTTGTGCTTTTCTTTGTTCCCAAGCTTCTAGGGTCAGTTCCTTGTTTTGGGGTTTCTTGGCAAGCGTCAGCTGTTAGTCTTTTCTCTTGTTTATGAGTGCACTGGATTAATTAAATTTCAGTTTACATGTGCTTAGACTGATTATTGCAGCTATTTTACTTGTGTTATAATTGCTTGCCTACTTTAATGTATCATTGATGGAGTTGCTCTATTTTATAAAAAAAATGTTGTCATTATTGCTGAAATGGTGTTTTAATATTTATAGGATATTGGCTAATTCCAAGCCATGCCCAAAGTGCAAGCGACCAATTGAGAAAAACCAAGGATGTATGCATATCACGTGTACACCTCCCTGTAAATTTGAATTTTGCTGGTAAGCTTATGGTTATTTATTTGCATGGCCTCTACTGAATTATGCTTTTTGTTTCTTCCTACTGCTTTTGCACTTTTGTTCTATCTTGAAGTTGTTGATTGAGTTGTTATTTCAATTTCCTTACACTCTCCCGGGGTCATGGAAGAAAAGAAAAGGAGAAAAAAGTGGGGATCTCGAAGGCAAGTCATCTGACTAAGTTTTTAATTTTTTGCCTTGCAGGCTTTGTCTTGGTGCTTGGTCTGATCACGGTGAGAGGACAGGTGGTTTCTATGCATGTAATCGTTATGAAACTGCAAAGCAGGAAGGAGTGGTATGAACACCTGATTTTCAACTATCTGTGATGCACATGCTCCTTTAGCACCTATTTGTGTGGAATGCATTTGTATTGATGAGACACCCTCTTCCTGTTTTGTCACAGTACGATGAGTCTGAGAAACGTAGAGAGATGGCCAAGAATTCATTAGAGAGATATACTCATTATTATGAACGTTGGGCGAGCAACCAATCGGTATGTAGTTGCCTTTTGAAATTATATTTTTTCTGTTTCCGTGGTTATCTTTTTACACAAATTTGGCTGGGATTAGTGTTTTGACTGTTTTCTGCTGAAACCTGCTTTATTCTAGATTAGTCAACTAGATGTGGATGATAAAATGGCTACGAAAGTGGGGTGTTATGGTCATTGCCCCTTTTGTTCTTTCAGCGATCTCTTCTTTTCCTCCTTCCTTCCCTTTCATTTTCCCTTCTCTGTCTGTCGTCTTTTTCTCATTCCATTCAATTCTTTATAAATCCAACACTTATTTTATTTATTTATTTTATTTTATTTTTTATTTGCAGTAGTTTGTCTTGTGCACTACACACATACTCCCCTTTGACTATCTTGGATTATTTTCATGTAAGGTAAAAACATAACTATGTGGGCTTTTGTTAAATTCATCTCAATGTGTAATTTTTTAGATACTTCGTTAAAAAATAATAGTAATAAACTAATAATTATCATTTAATATGAGTTAACAAAAAATTGGTAATAATTATCATTGGCATTGTTGTAAAAATGATAAGAGGCCCAAAGTTGTTGACTAAGTTTAATCCCACTCACATATTAAATCAAAAACCTAGCCGCCACCTTAGTGTAACATAAATAAATAAATAAATAATAACCTTTTAATGCTAATGACTTATTGCTATGTGAATAGGAGAGAGGAGAGAGAAAAAACTCAAGATCCTTCGTATTAAATTATTACATGCACATGAAAGAAGAGAAAATAGAAATGTCTGGAAGCAAGCCATTGAAAGTTGCAGAGCTTAAACAACTATGTAATTTTATATTAATTTTCTCTTTTTTCTTCAATGCCGTGTCAGAGTATAAACAGCTGGTTCAGACCCTGATTTGATACTTGTGTCAGGGTCGTGTCGTGTCGTGTCGTGTCGTGTCGACACGGGTATGGAGAGGGAATATGCCGAGTCCATGTAAAGTAGACTCAGTGTTCAGTTCTCTTTGATAACTTTTTTCGTGCTTACGTTGATATTGGTTAGTTAATACTTATGTATAGCAAGTTCTCGGACATGAAAACGAGTGCTTGGTGTGGGCATATCAGAGCTCAAAATATAGAATGTTTGCATGTGCTTATAACATAACAACTACATTTATACAAACTTCTAGGGTTGCTTGTTGGATCTAAATCTCAGATGCATTTAGTGAGCACATATCACATAATACTGCTTTCAATCCATCTCTGTTTGTATGCTTTCTTTATGAAATTGCAATTCGAAAAATAAAGACCCTCAGCGAGGATAAGGATTACATATTCTTGTTGGAGTGTTTAGTGTCAGTACAAGTATGTGAGGCTAAACGAAGAGAAGTAGCTATTCAATGAACCCTAAAATGTGTAAATGAAAATAATCAAAGATGATCGGCATTTTCCCCCCTCTATACCCATGTCGACACGACATGACCCTGACACGGTTATGAAATCCGGGTCGGAACTAGCTGTTTACACTCGGACACGACATTGAAGAAAAAAGAGAAATTAAGATAACATTACATAGTTGTTCAAGCTTTGCAACTTTCAATGGCTTGCTTCCCGACATTTCATTTTTTTTCTCTCTTTTCTATCATGTGCATCTGATTATTTAATACGAAGTATCTTAAGTTTTTTCTTTCTCCTATTCACATAGCAGTAAGTCGCTAGCATTAAAAGGTTATTTATTTATTTAGGCTACACGAAGGTGGCGGGTAGGTTTTTGATTCAATATGTGATTGGGCTAAAACCTAGTCAACAACTTGGCCTCTATTATTTTTACAATAGTACCAATAATAATCATTATCATTTTTTGTTAACTCATATTAAATGATAATTATTACTTTATTACTATTATTTTTTAACGAAGTATCTATAAAATTTCCCGACACTATATTGTTTAATGAAGTATCTAAATTTTTTTAATTTTATATTATATATATCTCGTACCCGTGTCCAAAATCCGGATAGAGTCTCCATGTCCTATTTTTTAGGAAATGCCGTATCGGTCACTCGGATTTGTACCCATACCCGACTCTCCTAAAGGGGTCCCTGTAACATAGGTTTTAATCATGATCTTAGTGTGTTGCTGAAGTGATGGAAGCATTGTACATAACCTTATTGAGATAAAATAGGACATTATTTGTGTCTAAATATATTGCTCATGTGGGTAAATGGTTTAGGCCTTTCCCTTGTGATTTAATGTCTTTTGGCATTGAATTATCAAGAGAAATTACAAGTTTCATCAAAATGAGTGGGTTGTACTTTTGAGATTTAAGCGTCGATGGTACAACCGATTGTATCATGCACATGGCACAACCAAGGCTATTTTTTTGCTCATTTGGGCACAACCTGTTACTCTTAAGAGCTCCAAATGAGCAAAGAAATAGTCTTGGTTGTACCATACTCAAGGTTCAACCGGTTGTACATTAGAAATTGCTTTTGTGAAAATGACCTACACCTTGCCTACTCTTGGAAGTTAATTTCAAGCGTGCTCACTTTCTTCTCAGCTTTAGAAAAACTCTAAATAATGGATGGTTGCATATTTTTATGAAGTAATTTGGAGAGATCACTAGATCAGCCTTTTGTATTCTCTTGGTTATTCAATCTCTTCTCCCCTTAATGCACCATTATCAAATTGATAATTGAGATATACGTTTCCTATGGCCACCATGTAGTAAGAAGTAAGAGGAGTTTTGTTCCTTGGAGTGTTTGGATTTTAATGAGCAGCAAGCCAGCAATGGTGGATTCTGGATTATGGTGTAAATAGGGACTCATCAAGGTCTTATACTTGTAGATTGTTTCTTTGTTGCTTAGACTCAACCTTTTCAGTTTTTAACTTTGGCCTTGTTTGGTTAAGAGCTTTTTGAGAAGCTTTTAGCTTATTGAACGCTATTAGAGGGTTGACCATTTTAAAAAGCTAATTTTGGTGTTTGGTAAATAGCTTATTAAAAGAACTTTTTGGGGTCTAAAAACTCTTTTAGAAAAAGCTCATTATAAGAATTTATTGAACAATTAGCTTTTTGAACAATTAGCTTTTTAAGTAATAAAGATGCTAAAACAGCTAACAATATACAATTATTTACCAAACACTTTTACACAATCAGTTATTTACAACCAGCAAGTCAAATCATTTAATATAACCACCTAGTCAAACCAATTAATACAATCAGTTATATCAACCAGCTAATTACCAGACAGGGCCTTTATCCGGCCACAAACTTTATTTCAAAGGTGAGGGTTCCTCTAAAAGTGAAGAGCTTTTATATTGACCCTAGCATTGAGTAGGATTACTACTAATGACATGTTCCAGTATCACAGGTTGGGTTTGGTTATCCATCACATAATTGTATGGTTTGCTGGGCTGTTGCCTGTTGGTGATTCTTCTAATCTTTGTTAGTCACATGTATATTTTACATTTTGACGTGGCAAGATACCTCTGGAGGAGGTAATTGGTTATTCGGCTGTATGTTAAATATAGGGGTAGTGGACTTGTGGCACAACACTTAATGGAAATCATGTGGTTGTGTTGTTTTAGCAGAATTTAAGAGATTTTTAATAGCCTCATTTTCCATTCATAATAGTTTTTGACACATCCTTTTTTTTTTTTTTTTTGTAAGGTCCTTACCAATTCTTATTAAATAACATGTAACCCAACTATATAACTCATCTCCTAAATTAGACAACAAAGGTAGAAGCCCTTTGGAAAGAAAGTGAACATACAAGTGATAACGAGTAGGGGAGGACCCCTTTTTAGACATTTTCTATTGAAGGTGAACAATTGAGCATGGGCCTAGTCCTGCCTGTTTTCTTGTTCTTACTTGGTCCACCGCTTCTCCTTTTGTGGGATTTGGTAAATTTTCCATACATTCTCGGGGTTTATTCTCTTGGCATGAATGAACGCAGCAATCTTGTAATTTACTTTTTACCTCCAGTAAAGGTCATTCTCTACTTGTCTTTAATTATTACATTCTGAGTTTTGACTTTACTTGAAAGTTGAAACTTAGTATAGATCATCATATCTTAATTATGGGACTAATTAAGGTCTTGTTGGTTGGTCCGTTGTCTCTAGCTGTTGAGTTTTTTTTTTTTTTTTTTTTTTTTTTTTTTTTTTTTTTTTTCAGTTCTCTAAGTTACATTTGGTTTGCTTGTGCAGTCTAGGCAGAAAGCACTTCAAGACCTTCAGCTGATGCAAAGTGTGCACGTAAGTCTCCTCTCTTTTGATGCATACTTACTGGCCTTTTCATTTGGTTATGAATTGTGATAGAAGGAAAATAATAGCACTGGTAAAGCTGGGCTAGGCTTTCAATGGCAATGCCTTGAAGGGATAGTTATTTGATGCACTTCGAAACATTAATGTCTAGTCTGTTAAAAGTGTGTTCTATTTATTTATTGAAAGTAGTTGACTGGAGATATAAATATTTCATGTAGAGCTGAAATCCTAGTCTCACTGACAACCTCCTCATTTTCCAATAACCGCATGTGTCGTGTCTGGGATCCTTTAATCTTTATTCATATTTAGTTATTTTATATATATATATACCTCTCTCCTTGTTTCTATTGCCACTCGCTAACTACGTGGATAATTGTGTAGTATGTTATTGCTCCAATACAATTCTCACTCTTTTTGAAACACAAATACGCAGTGTTTTATTGAAGTAAATTACCATCTCTTCACGTATTCCTTTTCTTAAATAACTTATAAACATCAGGGAAAGACTCCTTGCTGTGTGATTTGAAATGACATCCGAATGATGTATCTTCAAAGGCATTGGTAACATTTATTACAAGGATTTATTCCTTAACTAATACTTCATAAATGTTTGAGTAGTATCGCCATGAAATATTGATATTTGTTTGCATGCTGCAGCTAGAGAAGCTGAGTGACATACAATGTCAGCCAGAGTCACAGCTGAAGTTTATCATTGAAGCATGGTCACAGGTAGGTAGTAGATTATGTCTTTTGTTACCTCTCCCAAATTTTGAGTCTCTCTCTAATGAGTTTAGTTGTGCTCACAGATTGTTGAATGTAGACGTGTCCTAAAATGGACGTATGCATATGGCTATTACTTGCCTGAGCACGAACATGCAAAGAGACGGTTTTTTGAGTATATGCAGGGTATGCCATCTGGGATCCAAGGTTGTAAATTCATTATAAGTCTTATGGTTGCTGATAGGCTTTATGTTTGTCTTGCAGGAGAAGCAGAGGCTGGTTTGGAGCGACTTCATCAATGTGCTGAGAAGGAGCTGCAAGTGTACCTTAATGCAGAAGGTCCATCAAAGGAATTCAATGAGTTCCGCACAAAGCTAGCTGGTCTTACAAGGTATTGCAATTAATAGATTGAGTTTTGAGGATATCTTGTGGCTTCATTACATTAATTAATTGATGCTTATCACTGATATTTAAGTAACTCAAACATATAAGCCTCCCTTGCAGCCTGTTAGGGATAATAACAATTAATTTACTTTTTGTTGTTGTTGTTGTTGTTATTGTTGTTGTTTCGACTTGTACTTTCCAACTATGCCAGTTGAGCAAGGAATAAAGATTCTCAAACTGCAACTTGCAATATAATGTTTCATTGTTCCCTGACGAGTGTACATTAAATTGGTGACAGTGTAACAAGAAATTATTTTGAAAACCTTGTGCGTGCCCTAGAAAATGGTTTAGCAGATGTGGATTCGCATGGTGCTTGCAGCCGAACCACAAGTTCAAAAAGCCTAGGAGGAAGCAGGAGCAAAAGTGGAAGGGGCAGAGGCACCTCTTCAAAATCTGGTAGTTCCAGTAGGAATATTGATGATTCAAGCCACTGGTCATGTGAACATTGTACATTTGCTAATGTTAGATCCGCTACCATTTGTCAGATGTGTCATAATAGAAGGTGAACAGCCTCCTATAGTTGGATTCACCTGAAGGCGAAGACAAAATGTCGAGGCCAAAAACTCATCGATGGTGGCCAAGGCATCAGATGTCAATAATTGATGCCTAATGATCTCATTGCAACTCACTTGTTGCCGACCTCCTATGCATATGAGGTGGTAACCTGAGTTCATACAGACAGAAATAACAGACGTTGATAATGGTTTGGGGAGGTACAATGTTTGTATCGTGTCGTAATTTTAGCTGTATATAGTTCCATCTGCTGTGTCTGCATTTGGATCCTGACCAGAATTTAATGAAAAACTTGTATTATCTAGCTGTTCTTAATTATTTTTTTTTAATTTGTTCAATGGCCTGAGCCTTTCAGCCAGATTGTAATAGTGAAAAAAAAAAATAGAAAAATAGTTGTACAATAGTGAAAATATTGTACTTGTAACAAGCTTGTTTGACGATCCTCATCGAGTCATTGTCAATAAAGTTTTTCATTCTATCATCAATTATGTTATTGTAGCTTAATGATGTGGTTTAGCCATTCTCAACATTATACATTTATGTATATATGTTCAAAATATCATGCTTATTTCATAATTTTATTTAATATTCAAATATTAAGTTAGTCTTTTATCAGAATACATTCCCTTTTTATTGATGATATACTGAATGTATATTTTAGTAGCATATTTAGATATAGTTAATGCATTTTTTAACATATGACTAGATGTTTCAAAATGATCACTCAATAACAAAGTTAATTGTATACTTGACTTGGAACTGCAGAGTGAATCTTTACACAAAATTTTACATTTGCATCACCTTGAAACTTGGTACAAATTCTACTTGGTATAACTATTTTCACAGAAATGTGAGGCACACCAAGAACATGTGCAGGTATGAACGGCTATACTGAGGCACACCCTGCTTTTTTTTTTTTTTTTTTTTTATACTCGTATTATACAAATTACTATTCATTTCCAACTCCAAGAATCCACTGTGCTAAATGAGTCAAAAACGGTTCTGCTTGTGAATGGCTACTCAAGATTGGCCCAAGGCTATGGAGTTCAGCATTAAATTCTCTCTCGAATTTCCTGCAACCATTTATATACAATGAGTGAGTTGGACTTAGGAGAACAGATAAGAGAAGCTGTGGGACATGTTATTATTTGACTTACTGTATAGAATCTGTAACTGATGCATTTTCTATGAACTTTAGCGACTTGGATGAAGTCCTAAACTTCGATTCTTTGCCCAAACCTGATTGTGGCTCAGTAATTTCAATGGAGGAAGATATCAACCATTGAGTAGCAGCGGCGTACTGAAGACAAATAAGTTTTAATTTCTCCATCTTCTGCATTTTCAAGCCAGTTATAACAATCAGAATATGTCCTCAATATACAGAAGTTGCATCTTACATATACTTCGAGCAAAGCATTTATGGATATTTTTTCAAGTGAAAGGATCATATCCAAGAACCTAACCTTGAGAAGTTCTGGCAGTAGCAGCATACATTCTCTGAGACACTTCTCAAGAAATAAATCATGATACTGGATAACCTATTTATCAAAATCAGCAAACTCAGTGAGAATTAGAAAGATGTACTAAAACAAGCTTGCTCTCTCAACTGTCTTCCTCTCCTCGTCTCCCTTGAGAAACATTACTGCAGAATTTGCGCGTGTTTTTTTTTTTTTTTAAGAAGAAATGCTTAATAAAATCCTCATTACATCTCATTTTCGATTTAAAAAACTGACAACTTAGCAAACGCTTGAGAAACTTGGTGTGTTTGTGTAGGTGGGGATTGGGGGAACGGGGGGAAGAGGGGTTTTTATAAGAATTTTGGGCGTTCAGCCTTTATCTGTTGAAGTATTGAACACTTAAGCTTTCATAATCTATCTTTTCATTCAATAATACTCATCTATTTTGCTTCCTAGTTAACTTGTATGAAGGTTGGTTATAATTTTTTATTTTTATAGAAAAATTCATGGCCACATTCTGGATGCTTGTATGACTCCTACCTTTTTGAACTTTGCATTCTCTGTATTAAAACATATCTACTCCTTGTTTCTATTTGTATGTGACACAAATAAACCTCAAGCTTAATCAATTAATTGCTAAATGAAATTGTGATGCTAGCAGCCATTCATGAGCATTAACAAGAAAATTATAATAAATTCATACCTCATCTATGCTCTTTGCTGACTGCAGCCTATTATTCATCACATGCCAATTGGGTTCGAGGACCTGATTCATATTATCAAGAAGAATTAAACTATGCAAAAGTCTATCTACAAGCTACAAATCATAAACATTCTTTGGATGAAAGAAAAGAGCATATAGCAAAAGAAGTAACAAATATGACGTACAGTATGCTCAGAATGTGATGCAGAATATTCCACAACAAAAAAAATGACAATGTAATACTCCATAGAAATCAAGCACATAAAACTCCACTGTTTTACCTCAAAAGTTAGGTAATGTAAAAGGCTATTGATAAACTTCAGCATGCTTCTACAAAGAAGGGAAGAACGAGATATAGCAGTTCCCTTTAAATTAGCAGAACGAACTCCCTGCAACATGAATCCCAATCTTTACTATAAAGTATGAACAAACAGAAAACAGCATCATCTACATGTCAAGCATGAAAGCATACAAAAGACTTTAATAGCATACTTGATGCACTTGCCAGGCTCCACAAAGCTGGCGGCTGACATGTTTACAGTGAAACAGAAATCGAAAAATTAATTGATACTTGGTCAAGGCTTTTCTTGATATAACAAGAGACATTGGCCACTGTACCTGAGCAAAAAACGTGAGGCAAAACATCAGAAAAATATTATGCCACATCTAGTCCCATACACATCAAATGGAAGTCTGGAGTCTTGACAATGTTAATCGGGGGTATAAAAGGCAACAGGAGCTATAAGTATTTCACAGTAAAAGACAGTGATTGTTGGATAATTTAGACAAACCATCACATATAGTTAATACATTTTCAGGATTGTGCGTACCATAAATAACTAGTTGATCCCATAAATATGTTAACAATACAAAGAGAAGAAAGAAAAAATTGTAAAAAAAGCACATCATGTTCCACAAAAGATCAAAAAGCAGCAGTCTGACTGTCTAATACATGGGGCTTCAAGCTATTTTTAATACAAAGATCAGTAAAGTTGAATGATTAAAATAACTGCCAAAAAATATTCTTTATTTCTTGGCATTATACCTATTTTGTTTTGTTATTCAGACTTTATTTGCAAAGACAATCAGAAATATTAGAGATTATTTTATAAATATATACTTTATAATTCGCATATAGATGAAATGTGTACTGAAAAAGGAAAAACATTTAAACATAGAGAAATTACAAGAAAGAATATCAGAGGACTTAGAGGAGAAAGAAAGAGCAGACAAGCAAATGGAAAGAGAGAGATCCAACAATGGTGTGGGATACATGTCTCAAAGACATAGGCAGTAATTTCACATAGGCTTCCCTTGAGAGTTCTTAAAAACCTCAAATGCAAGTTCATTATATAAAAATGCATCCTAAACTACCTTAGGTGTCTCATTAGGAGACAAGCAGTAGTTAATCAATATTCTCAATAAACTTTCCACCACTGGTAACCAACTAGGTTGCTTGGGACTTTGGGAGATAGAGAACTTGCTTTTGAGTTCCCTTCTTTGTTTGAGGAGGAAATGTCAGGTGGTGCAGTTCCATGTATAAAGATTAGGCTGTGTGGGACTGAGTAGTGACAAGTTGACAACCTATACGTTTATTTGAGAGCTAGAGGCTTCTATTTTCCCATCTTTGTCGATGGGTGTCAGGTGGTGTAATTCATAGTTAAGATTAAAGGTTAGAGGAGCAATAATATTGTTTGTAGGAAAACAGTTGGGACATGAGGAATATTGATACCTCTCTCTACATAATTCTCCATGAAATTGTCACATCGTTAAGTAATCCTGAGCTTTGTTGGGTACAAAGCCTAGTCATACCTGTCAACAACCTTCTCATGGAATCGCAGACATATGATAGTGGCACAAAGCTTTTTAGGCCTTTCAACATCAAGCAGGGTAACATGAGTAGATAACACATGAGGTCTATGGTACTCTGAGGTCACCCTCTCAATACATCAGATCAAACATGTAGAAAAACATGCATCTCAAACTTATCTAGTTCATACACAATATTACACAGAAGGGAGTATTTGAACAAGAAGACTGATCAAGAAACACAATCTTTATTACTCGTACCTTGTAACTCAAGGAAAATGTCTCAAGGCCAGTGATGCTTGCTGGTTCCTCGAGATCATTATCAGATATTGTTTTACTAATTTCAAGATCTTTCAGCATGCTTAATCTTTTCAGCAAAGTAGATCTTTCCTGCAAGGTGTCAATACCAACAAGAAAGTCAGGTTACCAAATAGCACTCCTGAAGGAAGTTTGTTCATGCACGGGAAAAAAGGGTTATAGTAGCTTACAACACAACACGTCAAATCTTCATGACACGGGTCCGCTGCAGCTGCTGTGGATCGCAAAGCAAGGTCCAAGAGAGACTACGATGACAAGGTAGTTCCAAAACCATACGTTAGTCCCTCAAAACACAAGTATCAGTGAACAAAGAATATTAATGGAAGAGAAAAAGAAAAGTACACAACCAGGCAGAACAAATGCAGAAAGAACTGATGAAGAATATAAAGTCAAGAGACCTGCAGTTTCTCTACTGAGATCTCCTCTGTCTTTTTGGTCAGTTCCTCTCTAGCTATGTCCATGAAATGGACAAGGAAATCCCCCTGCAGCGATTAAGCACTTTCATCAAAACATAATCTTATAAATCTGGAAAATATTATTTACCAATGCATACAGGACAGACCATTTCAAACTAAGTTGAAAGCAACATAGGGTTTCAAAATTTTATCCTTGGATTTAATTAACTTCTCACCAAATTGGCGGCTCAAAATTCAGAAACTGTAGAATAATTGATGTTTTTACAATTAAATTCTAAAAACGAGTCTCCTTAAAAGTTTAATCACCAGGGAAAGGCAGTAGAAGACATCTTAAGTGAGAAGAACACCCCGCACCTCTTCCTCCAAAACACTGACATGGAAGTTAACTGGTTCTTGTTATTGCTAAAAAGTTTAATACATGCAAACATATGGCTTGATCTTATATAATGTAGAGTTTAACGTCTACAAAATATTTACTCCTGAACAATATATAATTGTGTGTCTTAGTGGACAAGGGAAATTTTGGTTGATCCTCAATATGAGATGTCTTAGAGACTGGGACACAGCCCTGAGTTAGACAGAGCACATCATGCATTGCTATCAACCATACAACTACCTATACAGAAAAGAAGAAAATGATCTCAAAGCCGGAAAAAATAAATAAAAAAATAAATCAATGGGATTCATGGTTTTCAGTTTTAACACACAAGTAAAATTGACAAGCACATATAGCACAGTGCAGTGAGACTGTATAAGAAGGCAGAGTAAGCAAACAATTACGA